TTTCAAATATTGAAAGATCTACACAGCGCTGCTCAGCAGTAAGATTTTTATTTTTAAAAGGAATCTTAGATATTCCAACTATTCCAACTAACAGAATTTACAGTTTAAAATATCCAAGGTCTCAGAGAGGGCACATGTACAATTCACAATGGTACTCTTTTTGTAAATCCTTATTAATGAGAAAGCTTGAAGATTTTGGAGTTTCCTTAAACTGATTTAGCAATACGGTCCTATAATCCAAGCACGCAAGCTTTGACTTTGATCACAATTGGGCTTTCCGCTTTTTATTTTTTATATTTTTTTGTCGCATTCGTTATAAATGAAATATAGATAGACATAAATATTTTAAAACATATCCTATAATCAATCTGAAATATTTCGGAACATCCGGTCCTACTAATAGTTAATATTAATATTTCGGAACACACTACTGAAAACAAAACAGCTAATTCGCAACACCCTATTAAAATCAATCTTAAATATTTAGGAACACCCTATACTAAAAATTAAACATAGATATTTTGGAACACCTTATTGATGAATAAGCGAAGTATGTGTAGAGAGGCCTGTATTCTCCTCTAGTGAGGTCAGGTTGACCGGAGGATGCTACAGTCTCCACAACACGTAGTATATACAGGACACAGGCACAGCTGGATAGAGCACAGTGATATCAATTTAGGACAATTTACAATTTATATACAGGACATCGGCACAGTGAGCTTAATATGAAAAAATATACAGTTTATTTACAGGACACAGGAACAGCTGGATAGAGCACAGTGATATCAATTTAGGACAATATACAGTTTATATATATAGGACATCAGCACAGTGAGCTCAATAAAGGACAATATTTCATAATTTTATTCAACTACAAAGCACAAGATAATCCAAATAAAAACCACAATTTATGGCGTTTGGACCCGCCTAACCAGAGTAGGTTGTTTTAGTTGATTGGCCATTATAAACGAATAAGAATTGTAAATAGATAAATACATGGGTTTACACTGTACAGTGTACATTTTAAACATAATCATGATGAAAAATCAGGAAAAATGAAAGAGGGAGGTAAGGGAGTATAAGGAAAAGGGAGGGTACTCAGCGGAAGGGTTGGAACAGAGGTTAATTAAATTTAACCTTGTAAATATGTTTTGGATTGAATGCACTGAACGCTACGTCGGTCCGAGCACTAGAAGTATCTTTAGAAAATAAACGTTAAACCCCAAGAAAGTGTTCGAGTGGTGTCAGAAGTTGGAGAAACACCTAGATAACTATGAGTGGGAGAGGGTTCCCAATGACGAGATCAAGAAGATGTTACTGAATTGTATCAAGGGATCTGCCCGTCAGGAAATAGTATTGTTGCAACCTGATGGACTAGCGTTTGATAATTATGAAATAGAAGAGTTTTTCCAGGAATTATTAAGAAGTTTGCACATGAGAAGGATGAAGAAGGCAGGAAGATAGAATACATGTCCCGGAAACAGTCCAGGAATGAGGATGCAAGGAAATAATATATTGATAAACTGAGATTGTGAGCACAAACGTATGCCCCAGCCAGGAGAAGTTTGGTCAAGTTCAAGAATTCTTACTTGGGTTATACAATGCTGAGCTGAGGAAAACATGCCTGACGTTTATGACTAAAGAGATCAAGCACAAGAGTGAGATTAAGGCTGTCCTGGGTCATCAACTGACGAACCTTAGAAGATATAGCCTAGATCATAGAGCTCCTGCACAGGATATGGTAGGATTGAGGCACACCTATGGTTATGAGAAGAATGGCAACAATAGACTGAAAGAGATGCTCAGGACAGGACAGGTCCCTATGGATGTGAATGCAATGCCTGGACTAGTAACAGATGAGTCCAAGGACGAGAACCAGGAAGTGGAAGGCAATGTGAATGTTATGTAGGGAGGAGAAACATGTTTTCTGTAAGAAACCTGGACATATGAAGAAGGAATGCCGGAAATACAAAGACTGGAAGGAAAATAATTCTGTCAAGAAATCTGGAAGTAATTCTTGGCAGACGATTTCCTGCTATAACTGTGGGAAAAAGGGACATATCTCAAGGGAATGTCGGAGTGAGAGGGAAAACAATGGTAGGAGAGATGATGGCTGCTCTGGAAGCGTAAAAATGACGGAAATGGCCAAATCCTTGGCAGCTTTACAGGAAGTGCTGAAGAAACTGTCTCCGGATACCTCCGGATACGGTTTTTCCGTATAGAGTTTCAACAGCGGACGGCTTGAAACTCCAAGAATGGAAGAAAAGGATAATGTGAATGTAATCTATTATATTTCAATAAACAATTCTATCCATTCAAATGTCTGTAATTTCGTTAAGTTTAATCCGGAAGTGAAAAATAGTATAAGACCCAAAGAGAAATGGGGGATGGATATGAAAGATAGGGAGAAAGTCGTATTAATGAATTTGAATAATATGAATCAAATAGAGAGAGACAACCGTAAAACCTCTTGCGAGAAATTTAAACTGTTAAAGCATGATATATATATGGTTTAGCCTTAGTAGATACAGGGAACCTAGTAAAAGGAACTTTAGTGTCGAGTGGATTCTGGAATACAATTGGGGGGAAAAGCTTGAGCAGAGTAACGCTAGGGTGAGAACGGCAGAGAAAGGAGGGAAAGGTCTCAGAGTCCCAGGGAAAGGAGAGAAGACTAAGTTTTATTTGGATGGGTTGGATCATGTTTTTGAAGTAGAACCCATAGTGATAGAAGGATTGATTGCTGTGAACTTTGGCATAGAGTTTTTTAGACAACATGAAGTGTCCATTTCATGCTCGGACAAGGAAGTGAAGTTAGTGACCAGAAGTAAAGGACATGAAAGACTGTGCAGCGTGACGGTTACTCCTTTTCCTTTCGTGAATAAAGTGGGAAAGAAATATGTGCAGGTAATCCCCGCAGTATGGAATGCAGAGAAGAGATTACCGGAAGTAAGTGGTGTGAACCAAGTGTCGGAAGTGTTAGTAAGGAAATTGTGGACGGGCGAGGAATTTGTAATCCCAGCTGGCAGTGTTAAACTAGTGAAAGTAAGAACAAAAGGAAATTGGAAAGTAGAAGCTTATGTTGAGTCAATACCAATGGAGGAGCAGGATGCAGATCGGAAACTAATACTTCCGGAAAATGCATACAACCTGTCAGGAAGGCATAGATAAGAGATTGTGTCTTAAAGCAGAACAAGGAGGAAGTGGTGAACCGAAAGTTGACACTGATGAAGAGGAAGTGAACCCAGAATTAAACGATAAACTCAGTACAGGAATCAGATATTCCAATGGAGGAGAGCAGAAGGGATAGTTTAAAGCTAGACAAAAATGAGATTTTGAATAGGGATGACAAACTGAAAGAGGAAGTAGTTAAGTTGTTTTTGGATAATTTCCTGACGTTGGCATTGCATCCGAATCATTATGGGAAGACAGATATACTGGAGCTTGAGGATAGAGTTAGAACCTGGAGCAGTGCCAAAGAGATCCAAAGTAAGACCGTTAAACCCGGATGAGAGTGTAAATCTGCAAGAACAATTGGATGAGTGGATCCAACAAGGGATCATCAAGCCAGCAAACAGTCCCTGGGCATTGCCACTAGTTCCAGTCAAAAAGAAGGACTAGATGGTTACAGACCTGAGTTAACTTAATGACATCGCCATCAAGGATGCTTATCCTTTAACCAACATACAGGAAATTCTACAAAAGTTTAAGGGTGCAAAGATCTTCACCTCTAAAGATGCGTGTGGACCACTGCATCCAGATCGAGGAGGGAGTAGGGATTGCACAGCGTTTATCAGTCCGTTTGGCACGTTCAGGTATATTCACAGGGAGAGTACAGGCATACCCAGACTTTGACTCAGAGGAACCATTTATCCTTACCACAGATTGGTATGCTTTAAATTTTGCCGGAGTTCTGTCCCAGAAGCAAGATTGTGTGGAGCGCTTTTTTGCTTGCTGGGGCAGAAATTGTAACTTGCATGAAAGACATTATTCTAGTGCAAAAGGTGAGTTGTTAGTCTTAGTGAAGTGCACGAAGAAGTGGTAGCATATCCTGCAGTACCGGCCCCCCTTTTTAGCTTATACTGATGCCTCTAGTATAAAGTGAATTTGAAGTCAGAAGAGGCAATATTTCAGCATTGGTATGCAATATTAGTTCAGTTTGAGTTTATAGTGATACATAAAAAGAGAAGTGAAAACGTGAACGCAGATGCTTTATCCTGATCAAAAATTTCTGGATGAATCTACTGAAGAGGAAAATTAAAAACATTCCGAAGATAATGAAGTGGGAGAAATGAAGACAACTGCACAGTGAGCTCAATATTGAGCAATGAAGAGTTTTCATATTTAAATAATGTACATTTTAATAACTACAGAATGAAAATCTAATTAAAATGAAGGATTTTAAAAAAAATTTTAGAGTAAAATATTTCAACATCTTTTTTGACATTTTTTTAAAATTTAAATTTTTTTTATCAAAATTTTAAAAAAAGCAGTGAATATTTTCTCTGACCGTTGTATCTTCTTTTTAGCTGATCATACATCTGTTTTCTGTTCCTCTCTTTTATATCTACGCATTCTAATCCCTTGTAGACAAGGGAGAAATGCATTTTGACACATATTTCTGCTTTTCTTTCTCCCTAATATTACGCATATTACTATTTGTGTTTCATGCAGAAATCTTTCAAATTTCTCTGACAAGTTATGTTGTGGATTGATGATGCAGCTTTTTCATCCAGCTATTGTTCATATTAGTTACATGTATTCTTACAGGTTGGAAAAATAAAAGTCACTGCTAAGCAGGGTTTGAAAATTCTGAGGATTCCATTATCATAATGACCATTAATAGTGTAATGCAACGTTATGGTCTTGTTCTACAACTCCCCGCCCCTGTGCTCTTTTCATGAATTATGTGAAGCCCCTGAGAGGAGGACCGATTTGTGCGTATAGGAACTTTCTAAAACCAGTTTAACATAAAGATTATGTAAATACGTACCTTTCACATTTGAGGAAATGGAATAAATACTGAATATTTTTTTTCAGACTATTATTAGATAAAAAAAAATGCCGGAGGAGCGGGGAGTTAGCTCAGGGTTGCAAAGTGTAAATATTGCACAGGTATGTACAATTTACAAATTGTACAATGTACATTGTACAGTGCAGTATAACAGTAATAGTATATACTGAAACACTCAGTTCTTAATGTTAAATCAATTCTGTACAGTTTAAAGGAGTAAAGCATGGCAATTGGCAATTTACAGGTCTTGGGTACAGTTCCTTTGCCCTTTTTAAGGTGCTTTACAGTGTTTGTTTCTAAAATGTTGACTCTCTATATATCAAAAACAAGACTTTTCCAATAGTTTGATAAAAAAAATGGCATCTTCATTTATCACAGATTCATAAACAAGGCCAATTTTCAGATAAAGGCTCCAAAACCACTGATTATTCTTTTTAAAGAAACATGCAAAGACAATCAAAAGTATCGTTTTCTAATCTTAGGCCTTGATGGAAGAGGACCTAGAGAGAGAGTTGGCGCGAAATGAAGCTGCAAACAGAATGGCAAAGGAAAGAGAAGAACAAGCACTAGCTGCTAGACTCAGGTTTCCGGCATTTTTATTTTTTTCTACCCTGTGATTGGCTCATAAAAATAATCAGATCTCTGAAGACTGATTGGCTGAAATAATCCAAATAAATAGCTCGGATTGGCTAATACAAAACTTCTGCCCTGATTGGCTGATAGAAATAGAGAGGTCTGAGATGGAATTTAAAGAATTTGAGCCGCGGTTTAAATCCGCCAAAACCCGGTTTAAATTAAGCGCCGGCTTAAATCTTGAAACATTTGATACAATTTTAAGTGGAACCAACCATATTTAAACCGCGGCTTAAATTTAAACCGCCGCTCAAATTCTTTAAATTCGGCCACCGGTTGGTTAAAACAAGTTTAAATGTTAAGGGCGGAAACCTCCCAAAAGATGATGCAAGAAATGATGAGGAAATATGAATTGATGAGAGAAAAACTTGAATACACAAAGGAAAAATTTAATATTCAAAAGAATTCGATTGAAATTAAATTGCAAATATGTGAGGAATTACAGTTCCAATGTGTAAAAATATCAAAATGTCAAAACAAAAATAGGTATTGCCCTTAAAACAACAAATATTTAGTGTCATTGTCAAATAATGAGATTTTATATATCTTCCTTGATTAATTGATATTCATTGCGGGCACTTTTAATTTGATGATTATTAGAATTGATTCAAAGCTCTGATTTTTAGGAAGTATTTTTTTCCTTTTTTATTTCTCAGAATTCCCAATTTTTTACAATTATTAAGTTTTTGGTATCTAGAAACATTTAGATGACACAAATGAAAAAATCTCCATCCAGGACAAACTGACAAACAAAATCATAGATATGAAGGTAAATATAATCATATTTTTTTTCATTTGAAATGCTTTTTTTCTTTTTCATCCATTAACCATCAATCGTCAATCATTGACCTTCACTTATCCTTCACTTATCCTTCACTTATCAACCATTTTCAAACTATCCACATTCGAATTTAAGAAGCATAAACTGTACTTATCTTTTAAAAGTATTAAAAGTCAACACTTCCTTTCACGATAAAAACGCAAAATTTTCTTGTTTTCTAAACATTCTTACATGTTCTGCAAAAATATAAAATATTTTTTAGTGGAAATAGAAAATTCTAGTGTTTGGTTTTCCATTTAAATCGAAGATAAAAAATATTAATCCCTTATTGAAAAAACATTACCTTACACTGGAAGAAAATTTTGAAGAAAATTTTAGAATCAATTTTTCAATTAAAGTTTAAGACAACTTTAGATCAGATAAAGTTTTCTTACTGCTAAAAGAAATCTTAAATTCATTTTTTTATGTTTTAGAGTTTAGATTTTTATTCTATTTCAAGCTCCTCGGTCTAATACTGTTCTTTTTATTGTTAATCCTCATAAGAGCTGTACAATGTACATAAAACAATTATAATAAGAAAGTTCAGAGCAGGGGCGTACGTGGGGGGGGGGCACACATAAATAATCTACTAACAGTTGTTGTATGGAAGTGTGTATATGATCGAATAGTTTACATAGTTAAAAAAGGTATCAATATTTTTTTTTTAAAAGAGGTTTTTAAAGGGGGGCACAATCTATCTGCCCCCCCCCCTACACAAATTCTCTCTTACGCCCCTGGTTCAGAGATGTTCCTATATTTTCAAAAGTACATACCTCATAATACAATTTACAATACAATACTTTTAAATATAAGATTCTGCTTTTTTAGTTCTTTCTTCTATTTCAAATATTGAGAACAATATTCTTGTTCTAGATAAGAGTTAAGAACTAATATTCTTGTTCTAGACAAGAGTTAAGAACTAATATTCTTGTTCTAGACAAGAGTTAAGAACTAATATTCTTGTTCTAGACTAGAGTTAAGAACTAATATTCTTGTTCTAGACTAGAGTTAAGAACTAATATTCTTGTTCTAGAATAGAGTTGAGAACTAATATTCTTGTTCTAGACAAGAGTTGAGAACTAATATTCTTGTTCTAGACTAGAGTTGAGAACTAATATTCTTGTTCTAGACAAGAGTTGAGAACTAATATTCTTGTTCTAGACAAGAGTTGAGAATTACTCGAATAAACGTGAAGCAGTTGCCTGTCTCAGCCAAGCTGTTTCTCTTAAGGTAAAATAAAGTTTTAAGTTACCCTCTCTGAAGTGGCACGTCCGATTTACATAGGTACTCTTAAACTAATTTGGCTGAACATTTATGCCGGAGAAATTCTTGTTTTTTCATCTGATTATTGAGTGCGGGAAACTCGACTTGTTATTAAAATAAAATGGGTTGGAACTAAGTTTTCAGTTAGAAAAGTCTGGATATCTCTGTTTTCTTTGAGCAGTTTAAGGCGTCAAGAGCACCTTTGTGACTTAATCGGTCATAATGGGTCACATGAAAATACGCGTACGGTCTTTTTAAAATGAATCTTTAAGAAAATATGAGCCAATAATTAACGTTATGAACAGTTCAGTCGTTAAGCGCAGTGGGCAAATCGTGCCAAAACAGTGAAATTATTTAACATATTCGTGAAAGTATTACAAGATTTTCTGTTTGAAAAGTGCAACAAAAGAATCCTATATTTGATCTATTCAATTTCCCAAATTTTCCCTTGTTTTGTGTCTATAAACTCTAAACACTGCTTTCTCTAATTCCTAAATGTTGTTCAAGGACGAAACAAAAACAATAGAAATTTCCAGAATTTTTAAGAATGTTAGTCATTAGTGTACTGAGTGTCCCATTAGTGTAATGAGTGTCCCAAAAAAATAGGAATTTAATTTACACAATATTGTCCTACTTCTGTTTTTTTACCTCATAAATGATAATCGTCAATTTAAATATCTTTGGTTGAACAAGAAAATCCCTGATTTATTGACAGAATTGAAAGGCTGCCAGGTGCTATTATAGTACAAAGAAACTGATTATTCGTCGCAACCTCTAATTCTTTAATCACTATATCTTAGCGAGTTGATGGTGTATACCTTTTATAACCAAACTATTCGATGTGCATAGCAGAATTCATAGTTTAAAATATCAAAGGTCTACGTCATCTGGTTGCAAAGATAACAAGGCTTAGACAATTAGAGTTTGAGGCAAGAAATCAGTTTCTATTTTAAGATCTTCATTAATTAGGCACAGCTGACAGGAATAGGAGAGCACACTTCAGAGAGCAATAATAAAACAAATCCAGAAAATACCGAAGGAGCCGAGGGTGGGATGGCAAACTCAGAAGAAGCAGGGGCATCTTCTACAGAGGGAGGGAAAGCAGTTTCCCCTAAGGGAGGGAAAGCAGCCTCCAGCATGAATGGGGAGATGGATGAGGATCTGTTGCTTAGAACAAAGGAGAGAATGGAGAGATTAAAGAAGAACATGGAGGAGAATGAAGAAAAGTTCAAACAGGTTTCTGTTCAATAGATTCAACAAAAATAATGTTGTCAGTGTTTCTGAGGTTTTTTACTTTTGGAAAAGGAATTGATTTTTGCCACAAGCTCAATTTTTTAATCCCTACCTGATTGTGTAAATCTTTGAAATTTCAAACTGAAATTATTTGATCTAAGAGACCTCATAGTTTGAAACATCAAGGGTCTCGCGGCATCCAGTGACAAAGATGTAGGAGTTAAATATCCAGAGTTGTGTGACAAAAAAATTGGCTTATAGAGAATCTAATAAAACTGTGGAATAGGAAGACGAGATAAAAAGCAATATTTGAAAGTAAATAGTTTTATCAGTAGTTTGAAAATCAACTTACAAAGTGAGATGGGTCTCTGTTTACTGCAGTATTGCTGTGTTTCATGTTTATTGGGCTATTTAAAAAAAACTTATCTAACTATCCTCTTCTTACTCTTGAGTTTTTGGGTCTCATTGTGCACAAATCAAACACTGAAAAGAGAAGAAACCAAACAGAAACACTCGATTTAGAAAAAATTATTCTAAAAAATGAAAACTTTGTTGTTGTAGAGAGAGGACCTGAAGAACAGGTTGGAGGAACAGGTGGAGAAGGGAGAGAAGAGAGCAGCTGATCAGGCCAGGATTGCTAAGGTATCATTATCATCGTTGTTATCATTATTACCATTTTTATCCTTGTTCTTGTTATAATCAATATAATCAATATAATTGAGATCATCACATTTCCTAATCTTTGTTATCATTATTATCATTGTTATCATCATTTTCATTGGTAAAATCATTGTTATCATCAATATAATTTTTTTATTACTTTTGTCATAATTTTCATTGTTACTATTGTTATCCTCATTTTCATTGTTATTATAATTTTCATTGTTTTATCATTACCATGGTTATTTCCGTCATTTTTATCATAATTATCATTCGTATAATCATTACCATTGTTATCGTCGTTATTTTTTATCATCATTATCATTGTTATCATAATTGATAATAAAAAATAATGATTTATTCAGATAAAATGAAATAATAATTATCATTCACAAATAATAATAACTGACGAAGGTGAAGGTTTGGTTTGTTGTTTGGTAGGTCTCCGGCCGGAGAAAATTTGATAAAGACGACTTTCAAAAGGATCTGGGGGGAGTTTTAATGATTTTGTTCCAAAACAGTACAGTAAAAAACTCGACTATGCATCTAATAAAGGTTTTATAGACTGTTAATAGGTCTTCCATTTTCATCCCAACATACTTAAAGAAAAGAGCGATGTCTTAGCATACGCCTTCTAACAAATCTTCATGGTGTTCAGCTCCCAGTCCAGGGTGTCAGTTAGCCAACTTTACAGATTTACTCGATCATAATTATCATTGTTATCATATTTATCATTCTTATTATAATTATTATTTTTATCATCATTATCATTGTTTTAAAAATTATAATTTTTTTATTGTTTTTTTTTTATTATCATTTTCCTTGTTATATTTATTTTCATTGTTTCATCATTATTATCATTTTCATTATCATCGTTATCATTGTAATTATTATTAATTTTATAAAAAATCATCGCCATCATGGATATGATCTTTATTATGATCATAATTATTGTTGTAGGCAAAAGAGGATTTGTTGGCGCTCAAGATGCGCGAATTAAAGCTTCAGCAGTTGCGTCTTGCGCGCAGGCAAGCACAGCAGGATCGGAAGGATCTTCAGATGGATCATTTCTTTCAACAGCTGGATGAGATTGAGAAGTCTCCAATCCTTCTAAACCAACAAAATCTGGAAGCTCTAAAGCAAGCAGCTGAGATTACGCTTGAATTCAATGGTAAAACCGAATCCAAACCCAATAAAGAAACTATGGAACCAACCAAGGTTGGAGAAACTACTAAAGAAGAAATGAAGCAGGAAAACTCAATTTCATCTGAAACGAAAATAGAAAAAGAAATTAACACAGAAGTGAACACCTCTCATCCCGACAATAATGAATTAAATGAAACAACACAAGAAATTACAAAAAAATCTGAAGTGGAAATGAAAGTAGAAAATGGCGACCAAAGATTAGAAAGTGAAATTAGCCCAGCACATAACAATTTAGAACTATCCGAAGAAACCAGAACAAAGCATGAAGTCATTACAATTAAATCGAATAAAATACAAACTGAAAACAATAAAATAAACCATGAAGCTACACATGTGCTGGGTCCAGAAACTGGAGCTATTTCGAAACAAAGACGACCCTCATCATTGGAAACTGATATTGAGCCTTCAGCAGAACAAAATACAGAACAAAATACAGAGGTAAGGATAACATCAATTTATTAGTTAAGAAATCAATTGTTTGAATATGCAACTACTGTTTTATTTAAGAAATCAGTTGATTATTTAAGGAGTGTTTTTTTATGAACACAATTGTCTAATTAAGAAATCAGTTACTAATTAAAAAATACATTGATTAGTTAAGAAATAAATTGTTTAATTAAGCAATTAATTATTAAATTAAGCAATCAATTGATTAATTGTGAGAAATCAATTGATTAGTTAAGAAATCAATTGTTTAATTAAGCAATCAATTGATTAATTGAGAAATCAATTGATTAAATGAGAAATCAATTGATTAATTGATAAATCAATTGATTAGTTAAGAAATCAATTGATTAGTTGAGAAATCAATTGATTAAATGAGAAATCAATTGATTAATTGATAAATCAATTGATTAGTTAAGAATTCAATTGTTTAATCAAGAAATCAACTAATCAATCAATAAAACAGGAGGACACCGCTAGCACGGCATTATCTGACACTGTGCGTAAGATTGAAGGAAAATGTGCAAGTGTGAAGGGAGATTTAGCAGAGATGGCAATGTCAGAGCAATACCTTCGGACAAAGCAGGCAATGCTTCTTGCAAAGAAGAAGGAAACAGAGATGAAGATTGCTCAGAATATTGCCAGTCTTAGAGAGGCAGAGGTACTTAAGATGAAGGAGAAAGTAAAGCATATGCAGGTAATGATAATGATAATAATGATAATGATAATAGTGATAATAATAATGATAATAATATTGATTTTTAGCAGCTTGAGCCCCAAATTATGGTCAGAAAGTAATAAGGCCGGCTAAACACACACCATGTTAATATGTTAAATAGTTAATTTCTTTAAAAAAAAATAGTTTCCAAGATATCCGTTTTTATGTTTTGACAAATTTATGACAAGCGAAAATAAGAAAGGTTCTGATTAATTACAATAACTGAAAATGGAATGTCTGTTCTTTAAATGAAATTAATGATTTGTGTAATTTAGAGTAATTTCCCGGAATGCGAAAATGTTTTCTGTTATTGGTGCGTTCAGATCTCTATTGTTTAGTATAAACCGGAAGTAACTGTCAGCATGGGAAACATGTTACTCAAACCACTTGTTGTGTTTCAGCAGTTAATAAAACAATTTTCCTTTCATCATTGTAGAATGCTGGGGGTAAAAATAATTATTTTAATTTCTTATTTCAAAACTGTGCCTTTGCAATTATCAAAAATAAATGGGATACAAGCTAAAAAGGAGAATTTGATATTGCAAAAAGCCAATCAAATTAATTTGCCTCATACTAAGAAAAACAGATTATATTAAATATAATATTTTTGATTTTCAGTTATTGTAATCACNAAGTTCAGAATTGTTCAAAATTCCTTTATTTTTTTTGAATCGTAAGACAATAAATTTGTCACACTGTTTTGTGCATTGTTTCATACATCTCATTTAGTACTAGTTTTTTTATAATTACCCTTGTACAGAGTGTCCCACAAAACACGACAGTAGTTCTTCGACTTGAAATTGGAATTATTTGCGGTATACGAATACGTTGTCCTACTTTACACAAGCATGATTCTTATAACAATAATCAAAAATTCTCCTAGTCCTGGCATTTGGTTTGCAGTTTCTTTGTTGTCAATATTACCAGAGATATTCAGAATAATTAAATAAGTATAACTAAAATTGTCGAAATCTTAACAAAATTCACCATATCTTCGGAACTATTAAAAGCATGAATAAGGGAGACCACATTTTGGAAATGCCAAGAATAGGGTTATTTTGTGATTATTATGAAATTATTTTAAAAATCAAAGACGCCCTTTAAGTCATCTTACTACTGCCATGCTTTGAGGGACACCCTGTACAATGTGTTTAGGAGCTTCTGGCGCAGAAGAGAGAGAAATTGAAAATACAGGAGCAGATTATGAAGGAGAAAAATACCCAGGAGACAGAGATTAATAAAGTGATCGAAGCCAAGAAACGAAGAGGAAAATACTGTGAAAAAGAATTGATGGAAAAAATTGTTTTTGAAAAACCATCGAAAAAACATTGAGTAAATTTTTCAAAGTATTTATTTTAAAAAAATTATCGATCCACAGCATATATTTACAAAAAAAAGTGTTTGATTCTAATTTTTCACTGTTATGATAAATTAGTTTTGCCCAATTGCTAAATTTTCAAGATCCAAAAAAAACATATTTTCTATCCCAATAAGGAAGATAAACCAAGTTACTTATGCAAGGAAAGTTAATTGCAGTCGTGTATACTCTGCGGATATATTGAAAAATATTTCTGGGCGGAATTTGTCAACAAGAATAGATGCATCAGTGTTCGTTTAGTATTCGAGGAGGTTAAAAACATTTAATTTTGATAATTTTGAAAATTCTTTTATTAATTTTAAAATTAATTTTGAAAATTTTTATTCTCTTCTATGGCAAAATTAGCGTGTATTTACTCTACAAAAGATAAGACATGGTCAATGCCCAATGGTCATGTATCAGAGTTATATATTTTTAAAAAAAAGTTTAGCAAAGGTTTAGTAAAATTATCTTTCGGCATGGTTGGTATGGTAGGAAACTGAATGATTTTCAAAAGGTTGCAGAGTTTTTGATGACAAATTCGCAGATTTTTGAAAATTTTCTTTGTGAAAAAATTATTGACTAGGCTAAAAATTCGCCCTTATGTTTCCCTAGGCAATAAGTTACCTAGACAAGCCATTACCTAGGCAAACTGCTACCTAGGCAAAATTTTACTAGGCAAAATGTAACTAGGCATAATGTTACTCAGCAAAACTGAACTAGGTAAAATGTAGCTGAGCCGTTTTTGGTATATAGATATAGGAATTTTAAAATCACAGTTTGTGGCAAAGAATCAATTCCTTTCTGCACCCTACAGGGAATCTTTCTTAAACCCAGCTATTTGTTGAAGAAAAGAAACATTAATTTTTGGTTATCATTTATGTAAGTATTGGTTATTATGTTAATGTATATTGTATAACCTACCAATAACAAAGAAAATACACTAAGAACCTTTAGAATTCCTTGCGGCCAAACCTGTTTACTCAGTTAGGGGGAGGAGATCAAAACAACAACAAAATCTAGGGGATACACACACAGCTTTAGTAATGGGGGGGGGGAGAGAGAATTTAAACTTTAAAAGGAGTAACAGTAGACAGAAGGAATAATTGTGTTTTAATTCTTATTCACTGTCAAAACAGAAGTATGTCTAAATAACGCCCCACCTCTTCACAACTTGTTCGTTTTTTGTTCATATTTATTTCAAAGAATACAGTACACATTTTGCATACATGCAAATTCAGGAGTTTCCGGCCAATCAGAGATCATTAATAAACGCATCACAATTCACAACTGAATACTTGTCTGATTGGCTGATTTCAAACCGAATTTCCTGTATTATACTGTACTGTAAAATAGTCGATTTACACAGAATGTGAGTTATGAGGGAGGGCATTGTCATCCAGCCAACCCATGACTTTAACAATAATGCTTATAATATATGATTTTTTTCAAATCTTAAAATCACTTACCATCAATTTTATTGTACTCCATAGATTATAAGAACTTTATCTAGAATTAAAGATATTATAATATATGTAGAAATAAATTTTAAAAAATGCTTATATTGTTTTATCGTAGAGTCAGTCCCTCAAACGTGCATTAGTTTCATTTTGATATTTTGCACTAAAGTATATAAATTCAACACTGGCACAGCAAAATCTTGAAAATTGGTAAATAAAATCTAGATTTATCAAAAACAATTATTTTACAATAAAATATTTATCCAAATTGACTAAATAATTTTCAAAGATAACAGATCTAATGAAATTATTCTGAATTTGTTCTCTTCCTTTCCGCATAGAAAAAAACGTTGTAAGTTTCACAGTACAGTAAGAACCAGAAAACCCGTCGTCTTCCTATTGCCAGTTTTCTGGTTCTTGCTGTATAGCGGTGGCTCGGTGGTGTTTTGAAAATCTAGGAGGCTCACGGCGGCAGGACAGTCCCTCCCGTCTAATAATTATTTTTTCCTATGGTTAGACTATGACCTGAAGTGTCTTAACGACTAATTTGAGAAATAAGCCACCTTTTACAACTTCTCTTTAGTAATTAGTATAAACAGGGGGGGGTTGCAATTTTTTCTTTAAAGTTAATTACGTCATATATATGTTACGGTTTTGCCAACTATATGTGATTGTTGAATTCCTTCCCTTCAAGAAACTCAAAACACATTTTGTACTTTTATGAATATGTATTTATACAAATATTCAATATGTCTAATATACATAAAAAAAAGTATTTTCATTATATGTATGCAATATGCAATATAGCGTGACACAGCTAAAGGTGAAAGTCATAAAATCATAAAGTGTATAGGTTCTATATGTGATTTCAACCTTAAGAATTGAAAAGCAAAAATGGTTTTGCCCTAACTTAATGATCTTAAATGGAAGTATTTTAAAATGTTTTTTTGTTTGTTTTTAAATTGTATTGTTAATTTTTCTAAAATCATAATTATAACACTTTTTACTGTGCAAAAAAAGACGTATGTAAACAATCAAATTACAATTAAAACTATTAAATGCAGCTTTATGTATTCACAACTGCAACCTTCAAACGACAAAAAAAGAACTTAAATATACCAAATTTTCTGTTTCTAATATTCAATTTAATGATCGAGTAGAAGATGAGGGGAGTCGAGGTTAAGCGGGTCAGAGAGGGAATGATGAGGATAATATTAACTTTAAAAGTGTGTTTTCAAGAGACCCTCCATGCAAAGGTGTGAATGCACAATTTACAACTATACTCCAAACAACTTTGTTTGATTATCAAGTATAAAAAAGATATCAATGACTGGAATTTCAAGAACTGATTGTTCTCAATTGTGAGTTCTGTACAAAAGTGACATATTTATAATATATTATCAGAAACAAATTAGAAACCCACTAAATCGACAATATCTTCCACAATATTGATTAGAGAAAGGTTTCAAGGGTATCGTCGTGAATTGGACATGGCAATCTTTGCAACAAGACTCCCTTGAAATTACGCTTACTGTCCCATAAATGAGTAGGTTCAGGGAGTTAAGATGGTCAGGGAAGAAATTGGTCAATACTCGATAGGATGTAAGGATTAACTTTAAAAACTTCTGAATAAATTTTAAAAGATATATAACCCCCCCCCCCCCCCCCCTCTGTATGCAGAATATATGAGAGGGAATATGACTGTGTGAAGAAAGAAACCACAGTAAACAGTAAACAGTAATTTTTACATACTTTTAGCAACATTTTGGACTTAGGAATACAAAAATATCAGGAACTTCTGATAATCTTGTAAGTAAAACAATATTATGGACTTAGGATTACAAAATATAAGCGACTGCTGATAATCCTTCAAGTAAAGCAACATGAATTAAATAATACAGAATTCTAGGGGATAATCTTTCAAGTATGCAACATTATGGACTTTGTAAGACAGAAATATCAGGGACTACTGATTACCATCAAGTAAAGCAACATGGACTTAGAATACGTGTCAAGGACTAAATATGAATCTACAAGTACCACCATTCACTATAGGACTGTTTATCACATAACATCAGTAATACGTGAGACGGATAGTTGCAAGCCCGTCTTAATGCAATAAACTTGGAGAGATTACAACTACACTTAAATAAAATTTGAGTTTGAAGAGAAAGAAATTTTACAAATATGTATTTTAAATTATTTTTCTATACGAAGTAGAATCCTTGTGTTTCTAAGTCCCCCCTTACCCTGCACTGTATGGACCTGCTCCAAAATAAAGTAGAAAGTTAAATTGTTAAATTCCAGTCTGTTCCCACCGTTCGTTGATATCTCCGAGAAACCGCGTAGAAATCTCCGGAACTAAAGGAAGCGCAGTTCATAATCATCATGGGAACTAGTCTTCTCAGTTTCATTTTTATCCTTGTCATTAGAACATAGTTCAGCACTTTTTTACTTACATTTTTTTTGTTCACAAAAATCTTATTATTGAGACCGGGCCAAGTTATTTAGTGTATCCAGACCATGGTTTTAACTCACCATCCCATTTAGTAGCTCTAGATATGAAGATTTCTAACGAAAGGTTATTTCCATATGTTTAGTTTTAAAGGAGTATTTGAAAAAAAACCTTTTGTGTCAATATTTCCTTATTATTTTACAAACTTTACATTTATTATATAAATATGTATATTATCTATATAATAAAGCTCCTCGCATATATATAGCTGGCCAAACGGATGAGCCAAATTGGCTAAATTTTTTTAGGAACCCTTGAGTACTCTGGGGGTAACATAGTCCAAAATAATTTTTTTTTATACAATTCGAGAAAAATATTCTGATGTTTTTAAATTTCCTAGGGCAACGCCGGGCACTTCCGCTAGCATTTATTATTATTCAACTCTAATTGGCCAACTACAACAATTCCTTATTCCTAGTCCTTTCAAAAATATTTGTTTAAGTGTCCAATCCTTGAAGATAAGAATATGTTTTTAAAAATCTGTCCACGTTAGGGAATAAATGAAATATTGAAATTTCAAATTTGTGTAAACAAGGATATGCTTCCAAACGATGTTCTACAAATAAGCATATCTGTCTGCAGTAACCCTTTTTTCGCGTAGAATACCGCAAATTATTATGAAATTCAATCAAAATAACTATTTTTAGTTTTACAATTTATTTTCGCCCACATTTCCTTAATGTTTTAAATACTGTTTGAATTCATTACTTTCTTCATGGATATAATCGTGTGACAGGCAGAAGTGATCTTGGTACGAGAACAAAAATTTTCCTTATTTGTAAATATATCAGATATCAATTATTTTTATATGAATTAAATTGGAATGGTTGCATGACCAATGACCATGTTCAATTTAATACTTTGATATAATTTTTAAATTATGAAAGTTAGACATTTTGGAGGCAGAAATGGTTTAAGTTTTAACCTAAATAAAGTTTGACATCATTCTCATGGATATGAGGATTCCAACATATTTTATGCCCTAGCGTGGCCAGATTTTCAAAAAATATTCTCATCTTGAGGGATTGGACACATAAAAAAAATATTTTTGAAAGGACGAGTATTTCGAGGTGGCTTGGATGAAAAAATAAGGAGAAAGTGGCTCGGAATAGAAATTTTTGTGGTTTCTTCCCCTCATGAGACCAAAAGTACAAAAAATAAAAATGATAAAGTTAATAAATTGTAAATTTCTTTAGAAAAAATTCTTATTACTTTCCAAATGGAAATGGAATTGATATTTGTCCTGAAGTGCACCAAAAAAGATAGAATGTCTAATACGCTTTCTAAAATGTGGTCTACATTCTTTGTATCTTTAAAACTGAAGGAGATATTAAGCATATGATGGTAAAATTGATATCAAACTGTCATGTTTCGTGGGACATCCTGTACTTTCTTTACTGTAAAGAAACCGTAAATACCACTTTTCCCTCTTTTTCCGCTTAAATATTGATTATACGGGTTGATGAGAGGAGGGAAAGGGAAGGGGGTTACAGAAGGATAAGGGGTGATTCCCTAGACAAGATTGATGTCTGAAACTCGGCATTGAATGGCTATAGTCGACATACAGTATTAAGCTTTAGAAAAGTATAGAATAGAGGAAAAGTAAAGACGGAGGGACTGGGAGGGGGGTTACACAGTGAACTAGCTGAACTTCTAAAACAAAATTGTATCCAAATTTTGTAAAATACGCTTTTAAAATTAAATATATCACAAGGTTCTAATGCAAGAAAAGTTAATTGCGGTCGCGTATACTCTGCGTACATATTGAAACAATGTCTCTCGGGCGGAATTTATAATCAAGAATAGATCCATCAGTGTTCGTCTAGTATCCGAGGAGGATAAAAACATTTAATTTTGATAATTTTGATAATTCACTTAATAGTTTCCTGAGACCAGAATATTTCATAGATTATTTTTGTGAAAATGGATTCCATGTCAGGCTTCGACATCCGTCTTGTGTTTACTTTTCCGCCCAAAGACAGTACACTGCAGTAAAAAAAATGCGTAGACCTTTGAAATAACTTGTATTAGTACCTTGGTATATCAATTCATACATAAGAAGAAATGTCGTACTTAAAATAAGGAACAAAAACAGGTAAGACTAGGAATTTATGAACAAGGTTATGTTTTTTTAAAAAGGGAACAATACAATTTAACACAAATGTTGGGTTGGGTAAGTAGGAACTAAAAAGGAAAAACTGCATTAAGATCATCAAAAGAAGAACAAAAGAACGATAAAATGGGAACTATAAGTAACAGAAACATTGACTATTGAGCCATCTGGGAACAAGTAAAAAACAGGAGTTCCATACGTGCACTAAGAATACAAGATCAAAATAAAATACAAAATCTAAGAAACAATAAAAAGATTTTAAGGAATTAACAAAAATAAAGGATTTAGGACAGAGATTTAGGGTCTAGGGACACAGTGTTAGGAATAGGAACAAAAATAGGAACATTAAGCAAGTTACAAGTTAGGAACAAAAATGAAAGTACTAGGAATTAGGAACAAAAATAACAAAACTGGGAATGTAATCCGTAAAACATGAAATGATAAAGGTACAAAAAAGAAAATATACATATGCACAAAAAATATCATTAATACTGTCCATGAATCAGGAACAATAGGCAATAGTAAGAACATAAAGCAAGTTAAGAACAATTACTAGGAAAGCTATATGAATGTAAAGTAGGAACAGTACTATGCATATGCAAGTTAGATAGGAACAATATTATAAGTCTCCAGCTTTCTATTTTCATTTTTTTGTCCCTATTTTCAGAATTTTGTGTTCCTACTTTTAGAATTTTTTGCAGGCCCGTAGCTAGGGGGGTGGGGCAAGCTTTTTAAGAAAAAAATGAAAAATTTGAAAGAATTGGAAACCAAAAATGAACGAAAGAATGAAAAAAGGGGAAAAAATTGAAATAAAAACTATTTATTGTGTAAAGGATTATTTTTTCTTCAAATTGAAGGAAAATTGAGTGCTTTCTGAAATAAGTTATTTGGGAATTTCTATTTCTATCCTGGCTTGTGAAATTATAGGGTTTAAATTATTATTTTTTGTATTTTGAGAAGCTTATCCTTGTCCCTTCTTTTATTAGATAAGTGATTCTAATGAATCATTGTACAAGAAAAAGTAACATGGAGAAAAAATTGAAATTAAATATAAAATATGGTCAGGTTTAGGATAAGCTGTTTGTAGTCATCCTCAAGCTTGCAGGAAGTTTTTTTTCGAACTTAAGTTTTAGGAAAACTGAAGATTTGAGCTTTTTGATCTTTACAGGCATTTACAATTTACATCATTTACTTTCCATGTATTAAAACTAAACAGTGTGGAGGAAAGGTCAAACTAAGGAGAAAGACTCTTTCAAATCGGACTAGTCACAAAAGTTGATAAATAAGTTTATAGATGTGCAGAATTGAACTTTTTTACAATAAAATTTCATTAAGATCAACTGAAGGAACGAGTTCTTCAATTGCCTCAATCTGAAATTTCAAATCCGTTTATCTTTGCAACCTAATGTCGTAGACCTTTGACATTTAAAACTGTGAATTCTGCTTGATCAAATAGTCAAAGATTTACATTGCACCAGGCTGCAAAGATACGAGGATTATACATTAAGAGTTTGAGACTAGTAATCAGATCCTTTTTTAAAAACTGATATCTATAATGTTTTTGCTAAACAATGAATCAATGAAAAAATGCTTAAAGAAAATTAGATCTATTGAATGTGTCATTTACTCCGTTTTATTTTCGTTTAATTTTTCTTTCTTTTCTAGATAAACCATAAAGTAATGTTACCATCTACATAAACCTAAAAAGGTAATTTAAAACATTTACATAAACACTTATTACAATCTTTCATTTTCAATTCCTTGTATCTTTGCAACCTTATGCATAGACCTTTGGTAGTTGGAACTATGAATTCAGAGCTGAAAACTTTAGAATGGGATATCTTTAATCCCGATCGGATAATAACATGTGGAGAACAAGCCATACTTAATCTGGAGATTAAGAAAAAGAGTGAATTAAGCATTAATCCCGATATCCACCATTCTAAAGTTCCCAGCTCTGCTAGATCAATTAGTTTTAGGAAGAAATCTTAAAGATTGTAAACTTTGGAAAAGTTTGTAGAAATTGATAATTTTCTGATAATATTCTAATTTAAAAACATGACAATACAACTTTTTTATTGGAATACCGCTAGACCACATCAACTGAACTCGATATCTACAGTTTTTTTTTTAATAAGTTTAATTCTGTAGATATTAGAATTATCAATAAAATTATTAAAAGAAGTCTACCGCCTGATGAACGGGAGCGACTGAACGCGTTATAAACAGAATATGCAATAGTTAGTAGTTTTAACCTCTGAACAGACTATACAATAGTTAGTAGTGTTGAGCTCTGAGCTGGGAACTTTAGAATGGATAAACTTAAAGTTCTTCTTAATCCGAATATCCACTGTGGAAACTTTTAATTTTAATCCTTAATCCACTCTTTTTCTCTCTCCTTGGATATCCGTTAATTGTTTTCTCCAATGAGAATATTTCTGTTCTCTCATTGGTTGCCCGCTTTTCTCTGATTGGATGCTACAGTTTCTCAGATGATTAAATATTAATTTGAATTTTATCGTTTTTCATACACTTTTAAGATAATCTTGCAAGATTATGTTAATCTTGAGATTATCAAAAATATCAAAGATTAAGCATAAATCCCGATATCCACCATTCTAAAGTTTTCAGCTCAGAACATTTCAGGAAGTTGAACCAGTTTCTGTAATCCAGATATATTAAAGATATTGAGGATGTTCGTAGCAGTTCTAGTTCTCATCCTTAGTCTTAATCTATCCAAAGCAAGTCCAGGGCCCTCCAGGTCTGAGAAGGTTGGTCCAGGGTCCTTTAGGTTGGATAAAGTGGGTCCAGGGTTTCTAGATAGATTGTCTAGACAGCTGAAAGAATCAGATAACAGTTTGTCGGTTGAGTTGGTCGGCGCGCTACAGTCCTGGGCTACTTCGTTAGGTTAGAATTTATAATTATTTTTAAGTTAAAAATGTTCATATATTTTCCCACTAATTCAATCTTTTTTCATTTTCCAACATAAAATTAAACTTTTCTTTAAGGCCAATTTTTCACGTTTAATTATAAAAAAATAGAGGTCTTCTAAAGTGGATACCAAATTTAGATCCCTTTGTAATTGAATTGAATGAAAATTGAAAATGAAGTCAACAAAAATCAAGAACATAAGTAAAAATTGAAATGTGCTAAGCTTTTATGATATTTCTTTTTAGAAATTTAATTTCTTTTCGTTCATAACTTAAACAATATCTATTTAAGTTTTAGCAGATATTTCTGTTTTCACCTAAAGATTACAAAAACTTTTCTTAGAGGGGAAATTTTCAAATTTTGACCGTCCATAAACGTTTCCTTGAAGCAAGTGAGGTTCAAAAAAAGTTTTTGGCCTGACATTAAATAACACAAAAATCAAAGATATATGATAGTATTTTGATAAACTAATTTTATATGTTTGATTTAGAGTCAGGATCTGGAAAACTGTTAGAAGAGATTGAAGCATTAAAAGCCTCCAATGACGAACTCAAAGCTTCCTTTGACCAACTGGAAGCTGAAGTATCTGAGATGAGACAAGTAAACCTGAATCTGAAGAATGATGTTTCGGCAGCAAATGACAGAACTTTGAACCTGAAGGATAACTATATGAAGGCTAGGGAGGAAATTAACAATATTGAGACAAACATAAACAAACGGGTTGATGAACAGGCTGTTCAACTGAACATACTAATTTCTGAACAAGGGAAGGATCTGAGTAAGAAATTGGATGAACAGGCCGAAGTTTTGAACATTCAGATTCTTGATGGGAATACTTATAAGAGACTTCAAGCCGAATTTCAAGCCGAAGTACAGAGAAATAATACAGGAATTGAAGGTATGTAATTCAAACTTAATTTTTTTGCGAAAATTCTGCACAGTAAAGTATGTTAAAAATATTAAAAATTCAAAAATATATTTTTTTTCTGCATCCAGATTAAACTCTTAACGTAAAAATAATTTATTTGGTGTTCTCATTTTTGTCATTTTAGTTAGAATTTCTGAGCTTTTAGCAAACAAGATGATAACTGCCGAACATTTGATTCAGTTGAACAACAGTGTAGCAATTCAGAATAGGTAACTTAACGGGTTAAAAAAATTAACCTAGATTTTTTGTTCATATATATCTGATATATGCTTGGTTAGAAAGTTCTAAGTTGAGTTTTATTTCCAGCTAAAATTATAGTTTCCAAGCTAGTTTGATATAAAACAACATATTGCCAGTTACACAGTCTTGACTATTTGTGACATTTTGTGAAAACTTTGAGTTTATACAATCCAAAAATAATAAATAAAAACAGGATCAATAGAGGTCTTTAGAAGCCTCGGCAATATTAATAATCTCTTCAATTTTCCATCTCTATTTGCCTCCCTGTAATGAAGAGATAATTATTTATTTCATATTTCATGTTATTATGACCAAATTTTTCTTTTATTTCAGTTCCCTAAATATTCTGCAGCAAAGAGAGAAGGGTCTTTCCCTTGGGTTTCAGCAAGTAGAGGAATCTATTCTGGACCTACAGAGTAGGATTATTATTATTTTTATTATTATTATTATTATTATTATTATTATTATTATTATTATTATTATTATTATTATTATTATTATTATTATTATTATAATTATCATCATTATCATCATTATACTTTTGTTAGTTTTGCTTGATAAACAAGTGAAATCTGTTTCTGAAAGATTGGAGGGGGTTGATCAAACCCTTGTTTTCATCAACTCAAGCCTTGTCAGTGAAGACAGGTCAGTTTAAATAGTATTAATTTTACAATATTTTTATTTTATTTTCTTGAATCAGTTGCAAAGAGTTCAGCCTTTGAGAAGAATCAGTATTCATTTCATGTTAAAATTCTCTAGATTTGCAGAGAAGGTATTAGAACTTGAAACTAAGCTTGAAACAGTAACTTCTACTACTACAGCTCTGACTGCAAATGAAGAAAAACTTACTAATGGCCATCAGCTTCTCTCTGATAGCTACCAGGAGATAGTACGAAGCCATCAGAAGCTGGCTACCAGCTTTGAAAAGCTAGAGAGCAGCCAAGATAACCTAAAGAATAACCAAGCTGAGTTAGCAAGAAGCCAAGAAAAGATAGCCAGTGGCGGTCAAGAATTGTTAATCAGCCAACAAAAACTTTCCATCAGCTTCACAGATCTAGAAGCCAGTTATAAGACATTAGAAGAAAGCGTTCAGAAGCTAGAAACCAGCTACACAAACCTAGTAGAAAGTCATGATGGATTGTCTAACAGCAACAAGGAAATGCTGATTAATCATCAGAAGCTGCTTTATAAACACGAGGAGCTGTCCAAGAGCCATAAAGAACTACTCAACAGAAACGATGATCTTGCTTCAAGTAACCGTGAGCTGGTCAGTAGGAATCAGTTGCTTCAGACAACAGACTTGAAGGCAGCAAGTAACATGGATTTGTACTCAAACATCACATCCAACCTGGATTTAGTCAGCAGCAAGGTAAATAAAAATTAGCTTACTGCATGTCATGAAGTGGTCCTCCATTTGAAAAGTAACATGTTCCATTCACAAAGGAACCCTCAAGAACTTTTTTCCTATCATGAATGACCATTTTTAATTAAGGTTTCTCTAAAAAAATGTGAAGGATGGACTTCTTATGGTTATTTGAATAAAGGTTTAAAGAGCACCAATGTTGCTGGGCATTGGCATGTATCTCTTAAAAGAAAGGGACACTTGGAAAATTTTTTTTTATACTTACTTGGCCCATCTTCCATCTTACATTTCAACTTTTAATTTTGGCTCTATTCGGGAGCAATACAATATTAAAAAGAATTGTGGTTTATCAAAATTTTACGAAAATTAAAAAATTTTCAAGATATATGTTTGCAATTCTCCGCATCCATAAACCTTCCTTTGGTCATGTGAGTGGCCTCTAAAAGCAAAGTATATTTATATGATTTTATTTTAAGCTTGAGAGTTCTTTAACTAGCACCAGAAACACATTGGCTCAGATGATTACTAGAATAGATAAACTTGAAACTAAAAAGCCAGGTAAAATCAACATTGATAATATTCTCCATCAAAAATCATAATTCAGGTATGATTAATATATTTTATATACACATAAAGGTGAATATTTTACATCTAATGACTTTTTATGGAAAATTTGTATTCCAGTTAAAATAATTACCTAACTAATACCTGCTAGTCTGGGATTTACAAAATGTGCTTTGAAATTTGTTTTTGTTACAAAATTGAAGGGGATATTAAAAACTCTGTCTGGAATTCAGAATACTAAATAGCAGGAACCCAATTTGGAAAGCATAGACTTGCTTTTTTAAAAAACTTTTTGCTATTCACTATTAATTCAAAAACAAAGACAAACTTAATTTGGTCTCTAAATACCTAGCTATCTAATAGCCAAGATTCTTGTATTAAATTGATAAAATTAAACCCTGCATTCAGAGGTCGATGTCTCTGGGCAGGTCAGCGTACTGAAGACAAATGTCATAGGACTTGGAAACTATATAAATTCAGTTAACAGGTATCAATGTGACTTTTATTTAATCTTATCAATTATTAAAATTCTTTAATCATTTATGGAATGCCTCCCTGGCACAAAATATAAATAATTATAATTATCAAAATAAAATAATTGATACAAATGATTTTCCTGTTATAGAGAGCTTGGAGAACTATCCAACAGTGTTCGTTCCACTGATCTCATTCTCAGGTATGTCAATGAAAATACAAAAATGTTTGAAAAGTATTCATAATGATTTGGCTGCAAAATGTTAAGAAAATCATAAATTCTCTACCTCTGTACCATTTACAATTATGTTTGTTCCAGTATGAAAACTGATCAAATGAATGAAACTATCTGGAGGATTGAATCTAATCTTGAAGACCTCCAGCGTAGTGGTTTAGCTGGAGGATCAGGATCAGATGCAGAGTCTAGTAATCCAACCCTGAGAGCTGATCTGAAAGACCTTAGAAATAACTTTGATACCTTCAAGACCACAGTCAATAAAGAAGTTGAAGCTGTCAAAACTGGATTTTCAGTAATCAACAACAACTTGGATGTTCTGTCAACAGGTCTGCAGGACCTTACAACCGTCAGCCAGCTTTCAGAAAGTAGAAGCAGTCGGGCACTAGAGGAGCTGTCTTCACTCAAAAGTAGTGTTCTAGCTTTACAGGAGCTTCAGGAAATGGACAGTCAGAGTAAGGAGGATATTGATGCTATTAAAAATAGTTTATCAGAAATTCAGGCGAAGGATGATGACAATAGATTAGTTTTGGTAATTTTATTAAATTATTCTATTTGTATTACTCCATCTTTAAATGGTTACAATGCAACAATTGAATACAATTTAAACTTTAGGTAGAGAAGAATGTTTCTGATTTGTTAGTTAATATGACTCTAATCTCAGCAGTTGCCACCTCTTCACATAGGTATTTTATTAAAGAGACAAAAGTTTTGTCATCAGTTCTAAAGATTAACACTACTCTACCTTGCAAGATTTCTGAAATATTTCCATTATTCAGTGACTTGGAGACTTTAATGCCTGGTTTTGGTCTAATAGAAGAGGATATATCTAATATAAGGAATGGAATAACCCAGCTGAGCAAAGCATTAGAATCAGGTTCTATTTCAAAACTTATCTGAAGGATGAACTACTTTGTTAGAAACTAAGGAACAAACAAATTTACTTTTACCGTATTATTTATTTTTGAAGCATCTGACCCAGCTCGATTTTCCTGTGGCGTAACCGGGGAGGAGATCAAAGTGTCTGGTGTGGTTGTTTACGACGAGTGTTTTGTCAACTCCAAAAACATGATGAATAAGGTGTGTTTCCATTGATTGTTTTGATCACTGGTAGGCGGGATAAAAGAGACCAGTTTTATTTAGGAGACTGGTCACGTAACAGTTCCTGAAACTGGTGACTATCTGCTTTCTTTTTCTGCCAACATGGTGTCAGTCAACTCCCAGGCTATCTGGTGTGCACTCTATAAACAATCACCTGGAGAGGAGGGTTGGCAGGTAGAAAGACTAAAACATCATTGAACAATTTGTGGGAACACCTAGACCTGTACATTATAAGAACTTTTTTTAAAATTGATTTGTTAACAGTTTAGTTAACAAATTTAAGTTAATGATCCTTTTTTAAACTTTCGTTCGTTTTTGGAACTATGTTTTTGCCCTCTTGGTTGACAAGGCTCAAGATATGAAGGGATTGAAATAATTGCAGGTGCTTGGAATGATCAACAACTACCAACAGGATGCAGGGGAAGAGGATGATCGAGACTCAGGGTCTCTGTCTATTCTATCACCCCTGAGCAAGGGAGATCAGGTCAGGGCTCAGTTTCATTTGCCAAATACTTTTACCATAAATACTTTTGCCATAAGTTACATTTGCCATAAGTTACACTTGCCATAAATTACACTTGCCATAAGTTACACTTTCCATGATGGTTTACCCTTACTTGTGGTCTCAAGGGTGACCAAAGGGTATTCCATTGTGAGAAAATATGGAGCTGAACTTGTGTCAACTGTTCTCTTTAAAAACAATGAGAAAACTGAAGTTAATTTTCATGGGAAAATTTCCCGCATTTACAATAAAAAAGACAGATTTATATCTTTTTAAAAATTAGAAAATTATGAAAAAAGTAATTATAGCAAGTGTAATTATGGCGAGTGTAACCATTATGGCAAGTGTAACTTATGGCAAAGGTATTATGGCAAGTGTAATTATGGCAAAAGTATATGGCAAATGAAACTGAGCCCAGAGCTGGGAACTTTAGAATGGTGGATATCAGGATCAATGCTTAATTCTCTGTTTTTGCTAATCTCGAGACTAACATAATCTCGAGATTATTTTAGTCTTGAGATTAAATGTTTAGATCAACAAATTGGGTTTTCAGAACGCAAGATTGGTTCGTTTCCTTGATTTGATTGGCCTTCACTTAATTTCTCACCCATTTATTTATTAATACATTAGTTAAAATTGGTTACAAAAGAATCTCAAACGTATTATTAAATATTTTTCTTCACCGATTAGTTTACAAAATGGCCGACAACAAATTCTTTATTTGTTAGAAATTGCGGATTTCTCTCTGGGATAGACTTTATTTTCAATGCTGTCCTTGGTCAATACAATTTACGAACTATATTCCTGCCATAGAGAATAGAATATATGTTAGAGGGGAATTTAAAGAATCTCTCAGTATGAATTTTTTTAGTCCCTTTCAGCCTGAAAGGGAGTTCAAAGTGTACAAAACATGTAAATGTTCACAAATTATATGCATTAGAGTACATTAATACAGTATGTTCCCTAGACTATTCATTTCAATTTTGTATTTTTTAAACTATTAAATAAACTTTATAATGAATCAGGTGAATAAAAAACTTCATTTGATTTATAGTTATAACGGAAAATCATCGTTTGTAAAGTGGAAGGCATAGAGTCTATGTGAAATGATCATTGGTCAATTATGAAACCAGCCTATTTCATGATTCAGGTTTCTTTTAACAATAATTTAAGATTTTCTATAAAATGATATTCCAGGGCCCAAAAGGTTATATAGCATAAATATGTGAAGTACACCTGCAGTATGGAAACAGTACAACAAAATGGCCGTTTTACACTTTTTTCTAGTAAATTCCTCTCTATATATTCTATTCTCTATGATTCCTGCACTCTCATTGGAGAAAATAATGTTCGGATATCCAAAGAGAGAGAAAAAGAGTGGATTAAGGACTAAAATTACAAGTTTCCAAAGGTGATATTCGGATTGAGTAGTTGGGATTAAAGGTTATCTATTCTAAAGTACCCAGCTCAGGTCAGTTTTAAAACTTTTAAACCCTTTCTGGATATACATAAAACATAATGCGAGACAAATTAAGTTGGGTGAGAGAGGATAACAGCAACCGGTAACAAGGAAGTCTTTCTTTAACTTACAGTCCAATCAGTGCATGATCTACATTCAGGGTGTCCCAAAAAACATGGGAATTCAGTGACGAATTCGATATCGTCTTTGTTATTAATTAGCATTGTAATACCTAATTTTAAAAGCCATAATATTATTATGTCTGCTAGAGTTTATTTTATGAAAACGGTAAATGGCTCTAAAGATGTGTATATAATGTCTCCGCAAGATGAACAGTGAAGACGGACAAGTTTACTCTGTTTGCATACTGCAATTTCCTTGTTTTACTAAGTACAACCGTATGCAGTCAAAACATAAACAAACAAAATGTGAACATAGCAGACGAAACCCTTAAAGATTACAGCTTTCTATCACTATACTAAATCGAAGAATTATTTAAAAAGACGATATCGAATTCGTCACTGAATTCCCATGTTTATTGAGACACCCTGTATATAAGATATGTATATATTTAAGACATTTACTGGTATCAGCCAGTCTAGTGTACCCATTGTGTAGGGGACCATTTCCTTTTCTGCACAAACTATTCTGACTTGATCTATGGGAACATCATTTTTATTTCATTGATAAATCTGCTTTGAGTTTCAACATAGGATTTTTGTGCATGACTTGGTTTAAAGATCTTGTGAACATTTTAATTTTATTACAAGCTTTGTGATGATCTTTTAATATCCATATAATAATAAAATTTTGTAAAGTAAAAATTTGGCAATGAAAAAAATTAAAATGCTTGCCTAGGTTTGGGTTGAGTGGAGAGGATATGGAGATTCATTCCTCTACAGTAATCCATACAAACTCATATCATTCTCAGGTGGGGTTTTCATGATAATATATGCAGTCGTCTTCATTTTTCAATATTTTATGGTTCTAACTCTCATCTATATTTATCATAATTTAAACAATATTGAACTTGCATATCGCAAATTTTAAACAGTAAAATTCTGAGGACTTTTTCAAAATTAAATCATGGTTTTTTCGCAGTTACAAATACTTTTTTATTGCTATAAATTGCAATTCGTAACATCTAACTTGCATATAACTAGCATTGATATTTTCAGGGTTCCGAGTTTCAGGAGGATTATAATTAAAATTTATTCAACAAGCTCAATCTCCTTTCTTAGAAAACAGGGTTATCCTTACACATACGGTGGACAAACTACAGGGTGTCCCACGAAACATTACAGTTGAGAGACGACTTGGACGGACAAAATAACCAGACAACCTTCTGGAAATGCATGGGCAACGACATTTTTCAATACTGTTTTAAATAGGTTAAAAGATGATAAAAAATAAAAAAAGGTCAAAGACGATCTTCAAGCCATCTGTTTACTGGACACCCTGTTGTCCTATTTTATCCAAACGATCCAAAGAATTGCATTTCCTTATTACTTTAAAAAACATGTGTTTGATATAAGAAATTATCTATCTGCCTCAAAAATGTGGTCTTCCAAAATGGTTAAAAGTTGTATTTAGATTTAGTGTGGTTTTGGTAAATGTAGCCTTTAATCCAGGGGCAAAAGTTTCAAACCATGCTTTAGTTCGAAACCTCAAATCATGGTTTGGAACTTTCTTTCCCTGAAGTCAAAAATCGAAAGTTTTAGAATTTTCATTTTATTTTGGAAATTCTGTTAAATTCCGCAAAGCAAAATTATCTAGAACAGTGAAATATTCTGTTTTAAAATTAATGTACATTTCTGAACTGTTTACAGCATGCATGAATTAAACCAAAGAATATTGAATATAAACCAAAGTTTATTGTTACTGAAAATTTAAACTTGATACTGATAGTAAATGTAATGTAATTTTGAAAAAGATCATATTTATCATATTAATGTATCTAAATGTATTTTTGTAAATATTCGAAATAAATGTTTTTTTTAAATTAGGGTCACAAAATTCATGTTAAAATAATGTCAAAACTAAGATACTAAAATATAGTTTTCGTTTAATAGATACTGTATTGTTTACATTCCTCTGACTAACCAAGAGCACTGAAAATATCTTCCAGTTGTTCCTGAACGTGAACTCGTTCTCGACAGAATATTCACTAATGAGGGCCAATAGATCCAGGCTGCTGTGAACAGATGCATTAATTTTCATGACTGTTTCGACTTAAAAGTGTTGCAACGCCTCAGCTTTTGATTTAACTCACTAGCGTACTTGTTTTTTGTAGCCCTAGACATTCTAGAATTATAAAGCACTATAGTTTTTAAGAAGAAATCGGTAAAATCCTCATCAGTTTGTGAGGGACAGTTAACTGACAAATTCATTAAATTTAAATTTAATGCCTTAAATCATATTTACTACGCAGCATACACTATCGTTGACATCTCTAATATATACTACGCAGCATACACACAGAAATTATTAATCATTTTTCAACAATCGCCATTTTAAAATTTCAATCTGATTAACTCAGTTTTAAATTTTTTAAATTTTTCAGTCTCAATTATTGCACAGTAACAAGTTATAATATTTTTGTCATAAATACGTTTTTAAAAAAAAACATTTCTCATAATGCTATTTTTTCAAGTTTCAAATATACAAATCATCCATTCTCAAAAACAATTATCACAATTTGAGGTTGAAATATAAAAAATCGCGACGCTAGAGGCCGTTGAAAGGGTCTTCTTCGATTACTTCTTTAATATTAGTTTCTCCGAAGATGCATTGATCACATCTGGTTTTTAAGCTCTTCATCCCATTCACATTTGTCTAAATTTTCTCAGGATTCACATGATCGAGTTGACTTAGGTACATACGGTTTACATTTAACAACTTCAGAGACATCTGGGATAAGATCTATTTCAAGCTTGAAAATAGCAGTATGACTTAATGGATCAACAGTTGAGGATTCAACAAGATCAGGTTTATAATTCATAGTCATTGATCACAAGATCAGGTTTCTGCTTCTTTGCAGAATATTCACACATATCACAAAGATATCGTAGTTCTTTATATTTTCTGACTTCTTGTGATCATTCAGAAGTTCAGAACCCAGGGGTTTGTTGTAAAAAACTCACAGTCGGTGCAGGAAAATTTAGTGATATGATAGTGTCTCTCTATGAAAAAAAAAGTTTTAGATAGACAAGTCAAAATAGTTTTCCAAACTTCAAAAGGAGGGGTTCACTTTATAGCCTTCTTTACATTATATTTTTTGAGACGATACAATTGTAATTTTCCTTATCAAAAATGGGAGACTTTCCAGTTCCACCACTGAGCCTCCCTCAAAAATTTGTTTATTGATGCGTTAATGGATTTAGATATCGTCAATAATCATATTGTCATTAGGTCATAAATCCCTAAAAAGCATAATTCATAAATATATTTATCAGCATTTTATAAATTGTACAATAATAGATTTACAGTTTAAAATTTGGATAGCAAAATAATTTATGGAATTTATCATATATTGTAAATGTTTATTGTACGTACACTATACAGTATATCCCATTTATATTAATACAATGGAGGAATTTCTATATTGTCGTTTTGACAATTACTTAAAGTTTAATGCCGCAGATTATATTATATTTGAGGCAAATGATTTTAAAAAGGATTCGAAACAACACTATAAAAGTTCATTCGTTGTACTTATACTTATGGGATATATTGTATTTAAACCACAGATCAACTTGTCTACATTATTGGCCCAAAGTACAGAATCAGTACTGTCGGAACACACTTATCGTAGTTGTAAATTATAAAAGCACTGTACAGTGTAATTAAGACGACTATGATGATTTCCCGTCTCCAAAATTCACGACTAAGTCTTCCTGTGTGAATAATAAACCGTCAAAAAAGTGTAAAAAGTTATAATCTTAAATTTTATGAAAATCGTTTTAGTTTTATTACATAGTTTAGTTAGCTTTATAGAGGAAAACAAATAACTTTTAGAGAATTACTAATGAAACTTTGGGAGAGAGTAACCAATTGATGTTAATTTTTTTTCGTTTTTTCTCCCTGAGATGATAAATTTGTTGAACCGTTTTGAAGAAAATTTAACATTAATTTGTTAAAGAATCAAAATTTTGGAATAGAAGATTTTTTGATACAGATCAACATTCATATCAATAAGATTTTTCAAAGACTTTGCTAATTAAAGATGGCGCATCAGAAAAATCTACGCAAAAACAAATGTCGTCTTCTCTAATAATTTAATACATCATTTCTGTGATAATTTTTTCTTTAATGGTTGAAATTTAAAAAAAAAACGAAATCCCTATGAATCAATTGAAGAGTAAGATTAATACATTAATCAATGCAATATTATTTCTTTGCCTAAGATTAAACAGAAGACGACATTTAAACAAAATTTATTTATAATATTGGAAATTTATGGTCTCCTCTCTTCTTCACCGCCTATAATCCCATTCCATAAAGCTCAGAAAAAAATACTTGACATCTGAAAATTTTTACTAACAATTTTTGACTATTTTTGATACAAAAGAGATGCGTAACTTTATTTCGAATTTAGCTATATTTCACCAGACGATTCTTATATCTAACTAATGGTTAAATTTTTAAAATAGTAATTAATATCAATAATTTTAATTTACAAAACATTCACAATTGTATTATATAGCTAAGGTTTTAATGTCGATCGTTAAGACTGTCAAGAAACCAAAAAAACCAATGACGTCAAAATACAGCTGTACACTGTACAGGCGTACACAATAGTCAGATAAATTTCCAATGCATCGTCTTTATTATTAGCAAAGTCGGAAATTTATTTATTTATATATTTATTTAAATGTCAGATTATTATTCCTGGTGTTCAATCTTAAACTCAGAAACCTTTTTCTCCGCAATTAAAGCAATTTCAGTAATCAACTCTAGATCCTCCTTAAACAAACAAAACTTAAAATGCAAATAAAAAAACATCAAAATATAATTGTGGGAAAATCAATCGATATAAAAAAATTAACCCTAAATAATATATGAAAATTTTTTAATTTTTTTACCTGTTCTATTGGTTCTTCTGAGAGATCTTTAAGAATATCCCCTGTAAGAGAAACATTATAATTCAAAAGTAAATAAAAATTGTTCTTACAAAATATAAATAAAAGATCCATATTAATTTGACCACATGTTTATATCTTCCTTCAAAAAAAATTCAAGGTTAGAGTTTTATGCTACATAGTCTTATTTTTTCAATACTTGGATATTGGCAGCTTCATAGTAAGGATCCAACTCGGACCAAAATGACTAAGTTGAACCTCTTTTAATGTGCGCCGGTTCAAGTTCATCTTACTCTTTATAGTTAAACTACCTAGTGGCCGAATTTAAAGATTTTGAGCGGCGGTTTAAATTTAAGCCGCTGCTTAAATATGGTTGGTTCCTCTTAAAATTGTATCAAATGTTTCAAGATTTAAGCCGGCGCTTAATTTAAACCGAGTTTTGGCAGATTTAAACCGAGGCTTAAACTTAGGTCTCGTTATTCATTAAATTTGTTCCCAGATTAAGAACCGTTTTTGTTTGCTAAATATTTGAAGTTATAAAATGTGTTTTTCCTTGTGTATCCACCATCCCCATTGGTCTAGCATGTTTCGCAGCGAGTCTCACACCAACACTCGACAACCTAGAGAGTAGAAAATAAAAAATGATAATATTAATTCAGGGGATATAGTTCCAAAACTAACACTTGGCCAATTTCTAACACTGAGTGTTAGAAATGGGCCAAATCTGCAAAATTATCCTTTTCAAGAGTATATATCTTTAAATCCAAGATGAGCAGAACAAAATTACAGCATATCTTTATCAAAAATGGCTAAAACTATATATTAAAACAATAAATGTCGATTTTGAACTAATAATAAGGCGTGAGAATTAGTTTTTGATGATTCTTGATTTCATTTTCGTACATATCCCTATTTTGAAACAATTACCAGAAGAAAAATGAACAAAAAAAGAAATTAAAAACAAACTGTCCTTTTATAATCTAAAAATCATTACAGCATTTAGAAATCAAAATATTAATACCAATGTAGATTAATCTAGATGCGGGAAACTGTTTGTTTAAAATGCTTGAAAATAAATTTTCCATATTCTCTAATTTAACAGATAAAATGTGGAAACTTAGATTCTAGAAATAATTTAGAATTTAATTTAGTCTTCATAAGAGTACTTTTGTTTTTAGTGATTTATTTTGTAAGTTATGAAAGCGAGTTTTGAATTGTGGATTATACTCAAAAACGGGAAAGTGGGTTTTGTCTCGAAAACGCGACAATGTTTTAAAATCAGGATATGTTCGAAAATGGAAAACCTAAAATTGTCTTGAAAACGGTAAGGAAATTTACTATTAATGAACTTCTATTATAATTTTGATGTTAAAAAAAGTTTAAAATTGGGAATTGTTGTTCTCGTCATGTTTAATAAAACGTTGGTTATAGTTTTTACTATCGACTTTTACTCTGGCTATGGGCCCGGATCCCAAAAACCCAGTCTTTCAATTTGTACCCATTTCTAACACTCAGTGTTAGAAATGGGCCAAGTGTTAGTTTTGGAACTAATGTCCCCTGTAATTATGATGATAATAAGCAGTCATCTATCATTCCGTGGAAGTCAAGGTCAAGGACGGAAATTACTGAAAACATTGATTGGTTTAAACACATAGGAGGTTTGGGACATTTACAAAAAAAATTGACAGAGGGATTCATGAACAAGCAAAATTGTTTCGTTTCGAAAAATACTCAACATTTATTAAACCCACCTTTTCCCATAGAGGGCAGATTTTTCTTGATAATCAGCCTGCTCAACGACATGCTGATGATCTATTATAAAAAATAGTGATAAATTTATGATAACAATAATGCAATTGAAAAGTGATACTGATAATAATAATGATAATAATAATACCAATTACTGGACTAGAAAATGTACATAGGACATAATCATTATTTTATCAAAGAGAAAACATGTATTTTATCTTGAACAATTTTACAACTTTAATCTGACCAAGTAACTAAGATAAAATATACTCTTGAATCTGGATACTCGAACAGATGGAAATTTTAAGGTCTGGGAATATTGTGTCAGCAGCACCATCTTTGTTGTACGCATAAATAACCCTTCTCTATTTTACGCATTCATTTCTCCTCTGGAGTGCATGCTGATTTATTACTTTGTTTATGCATGATAAGAGAAAACTTGTTTTGTAGTATCAACAATGTATACTGAAATTGTACTTAATGAAACAAGTTAATCAATGCAAATAAAACAATTGTAGGAGAGTGACTAGACAGAGTTATAATCTGTATTTCCAGTTTTTTTCCTGTTTTTTCATTAAAAAAATATTCAATCTTTTGTTTCTTTATTATAGACAACAACGAATTCTTCATACATAAAAAATGCCTTAGCACCTCCATAACGATTTAATTTTACTGGTTAACCTGTCTCCGATAGCAACTCTACAAATATGAGGTTTCCTGCTTCTAGCTGTATAGGCAGGAGTTTTCAGGGCACTTGAAATTACGTGAATCGTCTAATTATGTATGTTTTATTAACTAACCTATGGCACTGATATCTATAACAGAAGCAGCAGTATCTTGAAGAATATTCTGCAAAGCATTCTGCTCATCATTGACCTTCAAACACACAAAAATAAAACTTTAATATCTATGTATTTAAATACTTATAGAAACTAATTTCTCTGGCAAGGATGGGAATCTAGACATGTAAATTTTTCAGAAGAATGTTGTTTTTAAAATGTTTTTTTTTAAAAATTACTCGCTCTCTGATGATCTGGAATTAAAAATAAATTTAACATAAAAAAACGTTTTATTTAACAATTCGTTTTGAGAGTGTGCGGGGTGGGAGAATGTTAAATATATAAATATTACAACTCTTATTTTCTAAAATAATCATCCTGCACTAGAAAAGAAACTAAAATAAGGAACTAAAATTGTAAAGAAAATAGATTATGATTATTTTATAACACTTTAAGTTAGTACGCAGTTCCATACATTTTTAAAAAACTTTAACAAAGCAGAAAAAAATACCAATTTATATTCATATAAATTAAACAAATTATTGTGAAATATCTTAAATTTTTGTTGAGAAAATCAGTGATCCAATTAAACTTTTTAGCACAGTGCTATAATAAACAGCTAATTTCACGTTGTAGCTCAATGCCAGTCAGAAGGTGGGGGACATTTTGGCGCACCTTATCAAACAGAAGTCAAAACAGAGGCTGTGTTCTCAGAAGAATTGAAGGAGGAAGGGGTAAATGTTTATAATGAGGTTAAGTAGAGAGGAGGGACTATCCATGATGATTTCTAACCAGCCGATGACGGAGGGCATTGAAGCTGAAAGAAATGATACGTCAAATGAAGACAATTTTGTAGAGTTCTGAATCCCTCTTTGATTTGAATATTAGGCTCGTTAAATCAGTTAATGAAATGCACCAGGAGCTAGTAGATGTGAAGTCAATCCAACAACAGGTTGGATGATTAGCTGATGACAGGAAAGAAGTATAAGTGAGTGAACATATTACGAAACCGACGATCATGGATATAAGGAGTGCAAGTCCAAAGAATTGTGTCAATTGTGGTTTGGATAACCACAAAGCAGATAAATGCTTCTAGGTGGGAAACAGTTGTTTGTAGTGTAGTGCTCAGGGCCATGCCAGTGAATGTTTTTATTATTCTTCAGCAGGCCGACGCTGCTTAAAAGATTGAGTCCAGATTGATGGAAGGAGCAGTGGACTATCACCCTAATGAAAACAGTATCTTAAGAATCATGAAGTGTTGTAATTGCGGCGAGCAAGGTCATAATTAGAAAGTGCATTGAGTATCAGATCCAATGAAGAAAAGGGTTCAGGAATTTCATCCAAAGAGAAAATTCAGTTTTAAATATGTATGTAAACCTGCTAATAAAAACTGCTTCTTTGTCCCAATTGTCCGCCTTTGTAAGAAAAATAATGATTATGAGTATATCAGTTGCCTTATTGACTTCAGAGACAATGGAACCTATCCCAGCTTTGTCCCAGCCTTACAACCGGGGGAGCGCTGTGTTTAGTTACGCATTTAGTATACTACAGGGGAAACAAGAAATACACAGATTAAAACTTTCCTTTCTTGTTTTGTGTTATCTGGGTTAATATTTGGATTCCACAGCAAACGTCACAGTTTACACAAAACTAGGATTAAAGCCAATCTCACTTTATCCAATAAAAAAGTATCCCTTAAAACTTTTGCTGGGTGACAATGTGTAAGCTATCAACATTTTTATTTCTTGAAAAATATAAATTATCAATTTTCAGATAAACAACAACAAATGTCTCCATATTTTTACCTAGAAAAAATTAATGGTGCATTTTACTCTTAAAACAGAAGATTACTTAAAATTTTGTCAACAATCCACATGCAAACATTCTGAAATCTAAAATAAATGTTACCTTAGGAAGACTAGTTGAGAATGGAAGATTCCTTCCTTGATCATGAATAAGCTCTGGAATATATGTTTGCTGGGGACTGTTCTCACTGTTAGTTTACACAGTCAAAATCCCCCCCTGACGTTTCAATCCTGCATAAAGGCCAAGTTATGTATAATGATACTAAAGGAAAATATTGAATTCTGCATATTTTATATCTGGATAAAAAATACCAGGCCAGGAAATTTATCAAGTATTACTTGCTACATGTAAAATCAAATATTTAAGCATACTGAGAATTTATCTTTGTGGTTACTTAAGTTTAAAATTAAAATCATAAATGAATAAATGACTGTGTATTATCCTGATGAGTCTGGTTCTCTCTCCTTCATCTCCTGACTCAGAACCATCATTATCCCCACAACATGAACTCAAGAATCCTCCCATCCTGCCATAATATGTACTATATCATGTCTATATAATATCCAATATTATATTCAATATTATCCCCACAACATGAACTCAAGAACCCTCCCATCCTGCCATTAAATAGTACTAAATAATATTTATATTATACCTATATAACATCCAATATTATCCCCAACAACATGAAATCAAGAACCCTCCCCTACCATCCTCACATAAATAGTTACATGTACTATATCTTATCTATTCAATATTATCTCCACATCATGAACTTAAGAACCCTCCCATCCTGTCATTAAATATTACTATATTTTATCTATATTATAAATAATATTATTCCCCCCATATGAACTCAAGAACCCTCCTATCCTACCAAAAAATAGAACTATGTAATATCTATATTATATCCAATATTATCCCCCCCCTCCCCATATTAATTCAAGAACTCTCCCATCCTACCATAAATAGTACTATATTATATCTATATTAAATCTCTATTATATCAACTATTATCCCACCCAACATGAACTCAAGAACTCTCCCATCCTACCATAAATAGTACTATCATATTATCATATATCTATATTATATCAATATTAAATCCAGAATTAGCCCGACAACATGAACTCAAGAACCCTCCCATCTTATCAAAAATAGTGCTAATTTAATATCTATTTAATAATGCTTAAGTGCCCAACGTTGCCTGTGGAATCTTGAAAAAAATTATTTCAGTCTATGTTAACCCCAGGAAATATTTCAGTCTATGTAACCCCCAGGAAATATTTCAGTCTATGTTACTCCCAGGAAATATTTCAGTCTATGTTACCCCCAGGAAATATTTCAGTCTATGTTACCCCCAGGAAATATTTCAGTCTATGTTACCCCCAGGAAATAATTCAGTCTATGTTACCCCAGGAAACCCGTGGGTTTCCTAAAAAAAAGTTCAGCCAATTTGGCCCAGCTGTTTTGCCAGCTTTTGCTCACATATGTAAATGTATATATGAGCAAAAAGCTTTATCATATAACCATCTCCGCAAAAAAAAAAAAAACCTTTAAAATTTCCCAGGGTTTTTGATTCATAATTTAAATTTCATGAACATTGTAAAACTTTTCAAATATTAATTGTTTTAAAATCTTCACAAAACGTTCATATTTAAAACTTTTTTTTTAGTAAATAGTAATGCATTGTAAAGTATTTGCGAAGAAATGATAAAAATTTGGGATATATTATCATTGTTCAAATTTATTTTCACGCACAAATAAAGTTAATTTAGTCTGGTATATGTAATTAAGATTTTTAAATAAGTCAAATCAAAGAATTCTACATGTTCATTCTCTAATTTCATAAATATATAAGCTGTTTCTATGTAATCTAGTCAGCTTATTCAATAATCAAATCATTTTCAGAAACACACTTATTGCAAATAAACATGTTGATTCATAAAATATCAAATTTTAAAAGAATTAAAATGTTTCAATATAAGCAATTATTTAGAGCAAGTCAGCTTATAACGTCACCACATAACTAATCAAACACATTCTAACTGAATATTGACTTTTCCAGCCGTATTAAATGGTAACTCCATTCTCGATGTTTTTTTCTCTAGACTCGGCATCAACCATAAGGGTTTGTTAATCAGCGACAAATCAGGAAGCCTCAGGCAAAAGTAAAAAAAAAACACAATCGAATAAAGTCAGACCCTTTGGCAGAGGTGAAATATATTAAATAATCTAAACTTAACTAGACCCCTCCCCTTTTCAAATACTTTAGACTAAAAATAAATCACATTTATTTTTCCATAAAAATCGTATTTTTGGCCTGATTTATCAAAACAACCTAAAGCCCTATTGACCTCTTCTTTATTTTGTGCCTGTCTGCAGTAATTACCTGAAATTAAGTAGTGCCCGTTTAAATGTGTAGTCAGTAATTTCATAACATCAGTTTTCTGAAATACATTACTATTTTTATCACAGCCTTTAGGAAAACTTATCACATTACCGCAAACAATACATTGAAATTTAAAGACAACTCTTACTAAAATGATAAACCAATTTAAAAGTTTTAATATTATTTATCCTAAACATAATATTTCCGCCAATATATCGTATTTCACGAATCTTTGAAGATCGTTAAAATTGTATCCAACAGTGTGGAAAAGCCTCAAATCTCTTGTAGTTTTAAAACCCGAACAAATCAAACAAAACTATTTTCTCTCCCGTAAAATCCCAAGATGTTGATTCTGTTCCACAATATAAACATGACCCTGCCCTGTCACCCTGTGTTGGAATGCATGTCAAGGTTAAATCAGGTATCACAATTTTAAAAACTTTAATTAACCCTTCCACAGGCCCAGAGCACAAGGAACAGGGTAGGATTGGTTAATCTCCCATCTCCCGTTATAGAGAAAAGCACCAGGAGGAGGATAGGACAGGTTCATCCTCCCACAGGTCCAGAGCACAAGGAACAGGATAGGACTGGTTCATCTCTCATCTCCAGGTAAAGAGCAGAGCACCAGGAACAGGTTCGGTAGGACGGATCGTCGCATGGAAGTTGAGTTAACCCACACCTTCCCCATCTAAATATTGTAACTGAAAAAACAAAATCCTAAAATCTTCTCTTTCATAAAAAATCCTCAATAAAATACCTGTGATTATTTAAGCAAACCACCGTTCTCAAAGTTTCAGCCCTTGCCTCCGAGGCACAAACAGCGCACCTCCAAGTGTACAGCAACTCGCTAAAAAAAATCAAGTAATATCTTATTATTACTTCGGACTACTGTAAAAGCGCCTTTTACCTTTTCAGCTCCGTGGCTAACGACAGTGAGTCTTCATCTGCCGAAAACAGTTCAAGAAATCTTACAGCGGCGGCTTTCGCTTTCCTGTCGACTGCGCATGAAAACAGAACTGAGGACGCTGCATTGCAGCGCAGAACTTTCTCAATGGCCGTCAATTCAGCCATATTGGAAAATGGCTTCTTCCGTGATACAAGCGCAGAGGCCACCCACCATCTACAGTTTATGTTTAGCAACTCGTCAAGTTTTCCAACATCAAAACCTATGACAAAACCATAAAGTTGACCCAATAAAATTACAATTACTAAATCATTAAATTGTTAAAAGCTTTGATCACCTTTGGAATAAAGAATAACTCTGTATAGCTCCAAGAAATCTGGCTTTAATTCCAAACACCTAAGCTTACTCCTAAAACAATAAAAAAAATAACTGAAGGCGTTACTAGAAAACAAATATGATAAGCAATGGTATATGAGTAATTTACTCCCTGTGTTTTTTTTACTGTTAATTTTTCGTTTTATCGCTGAGGACCAATAAATATTTATATAATAATAAGAAAACAAAGTCGTAATATCAATTTTACATTAAATGGATAGAACTTATCTACATTTTACTTGGAAAATGCCTAAATTTCTACTTTTTTACTTAGCACAATATATTCAATAATAAGTAAATCACAGAATTTACCTGATATATTTTGGTTCTAGCAGACTAAAGAATATAATTCTTGAGGGTTCTCTTTGCAGCAAATGATCATTGAAAACAGATATGCATTCCAGTACACAATAGATGGCCTGATCAATGAATAAATTATCTAAATTCTCATGCTTCTACTTATTTGACTGAAAAATTCACATAGAAAAGAAAACGACTAAAAATATTTTGACTTTTAAAAAGTTAATTATGTGATTTTGAGTTCCTTTTTTTTGTAGTACATCCATCATGCCAATTTAAGATCTTAATAGTTTACAATCCTACAGCTTCAGTCATCACCAGAATGAAAGTCTTTTCTTTATAAAAGAAATATGTTGTAATTTGTAACGGTTATAACTCAGTAATCGACGAAAATGTTTACTATCTAGGGTGGATTGTTACACAATACTAATGACAAAAATGTTTTAACCTAAAATTCAGATTTAAAAACTTAAAAATGACGTTTTAATCACAATTTTTTACTTGATGTTTAAAAGAGGATTATTACCTGGTTAGGGCTAGAAACGAACCCCCAAGTTCCATAATCTCTTCTATCCACCCCAACTCCTATCTGAATTTAAGTAAAATTATTGAAAAAATTTATAAAAATATGTAAAAAAAGACGATTACAGTTCTTGTTTTTGTTGGCAATTGGACATGATTAAAAAACTGTTCAGACGAAAAAGTTTCCGCTCTTCGACTGCACCGTTCACCTCAGCTATGAAGTGGGTTTTAAAAACAGAGACACCTGAGTTTTTTTCAGATTCTGAAAGTAGACTATGCCTAGACATAGCATGCAGATTTTTAGAAATCCCTATCTAGCCCTTTTAGACAAATTCCATTTTAACTTTGTTGTGTAGTCTAGACTGAAAAAAGGCGTTTGACTAAAAAGTTTTCGTGAGATTATTAGGAAACCCGAAACGTTTTGAGCTTTTCTGCTTAAATATTAGAATTATTAAATAAATTTATCAATGTAGAATTAACAAATCGGAAGAAAACAACCATATAAACAATGATTTATAGGTTTCAAATGATAAAATTAAGCACATTTTAGATGTTTAAATCTTGTTTCTCGACTGTTCGTCTATAGAGGCTGAAATGTGGTTCAGACACTTTTGTTATGAAAAACCTTGAATACACTGCAATATTTTGTTAAGGGTTTTAATATTTTAGAGCTCATTGACCAGGTAACGCTTTATTGAAGACAAAGTATTTCTTAAAGATACAATATTACTCTCAGAGCACTTAGCAGTTTAATGGTCAATAAAAGGAAGGAAAGATACAAATCTGCATCTTTATAATTGAAATATCTTGTGAAAAGGTCATGGGCTTACAAATTACTGTAGTGGACATCCAGAAAGCTTAAAAAACAATGTAGAAGACAGTGTCTGCACTGCAAAAAAATAGAGGACTTATAAAATGGTAAGATGCACAGTTGCACACTTTTTCATTGAAACCCAAATATTATTTTCCTATTGTAAAATAAACAAATCCTCTAATGTTACTTATAGTGGTAGTCAAGAGTAAAAAAGTATATACAAAATATGAAGTCCATTTCCTGTAGTTGTAAAAGTTTTTCTCATCTCTCTCTCGTCTCCCAGATCCTGGGCTTTAATAAATCCTTAGATTTGTTCTGGTCATCTTCCAGGTTAACTTCTAGCTAACTTTGGCCTTTATTACGTTAATGCTGGATTGGGATTCACAATATTTAAAGGCTAAATAATCCTTTACATTTTCTCCCATAAACTAACAAGAAATCTGTTGGTACTCTTAACAGAAATCTCCTGATTTTTAAGAGTCGACTTGACAAGGCAAGGAATTCAAACATACTCTTTACTGCAGTGGGGTGTTGTCACGCTTCTATTTCAATGTCTATCAGAACTTATTGATGTTTTTTTACTCTTGTGACAAACATTTCTGCTATAGTCACTTAATTAATTCGCAAACCTAAGACCTACTGACAAGAAATTTCGATTATACAGCTGATGTAGATTTTTATCTTATTTTTATTATTGACCATTAAACTGTTTAGGACTCAGAGAGTGTCGCATTGTATTTTGTCTTCAATAAGACTTCACCTGGTTAATGAGCTCTAAAATATTTAAACTATTAACAAAAATTTCAGTGTATTTAAGGTATTTCGAAAAAATAAGTGTTTGGGCCTTTTACATTTCAGCCTCATGCTAGGTCTAGACATAGCCTACTTTCAAAATCAGAAAAAACCTCCGGTGTCTCTGTTTTCAGTTGTTGTATTTGTAAAATATTGGCATTTATTAAAGATTCGATCTAACAGAAAATTAATAATTGTAGCAATGGGATTCCTACCTTAGAAAAAAGTAGTCCAATCAAACATATCTCGTTCTGCTTTACTTTTTTAATTAAAAAATTTCTATTTAATCTTTCTTAAAAGCTTTTTATATTTACCTCCAATTTCTTCTTTTTCCCGTCCCAGAGAATCAAACTTCCTTTGTGCGCCATTACGGCAAGATGTTCAGTCCCAGGTTTGGGATCGGGTTGGATATCGTCTCCTAAAGCTTCTCCTTGCCCGTGACTAGTCTGACCGATGATAGAATGCTGTATTGCTGATAGAGGTGCTCTAATAAGCTCAACCCCAGCTATACTTGAGATCCCGGCATTTAACGAATATTGTTCCAAAACCTAGAAATAAGTTTTTATATTTCAGTATTCCTACAAACTAACAAAAAGCAAAAGCTAAGTTCGAAATCAAAATTCGTTTACTAAAAATGATTCCAAAAGTTATTAAGGGCTGCTTACACTATTGCGATTCAAACCAGCCTCCTTTAGTACGTTATCGGAAAGGCAAAGATGTAGTTGTGGTTTATTTCTTTTGGAAATAAAAGAAATTTTTATTTTCCAATCTACTGTACAATCTTAGTTACTTAAAAGAGAAACCGCGGAGGCATGTTTTTCCTTTTAGTAAGAAATAATCGTGAAACGTTGTGAACCATTAAAACGGGGTTGTTTAATTAAGGGACCAAAAAATTAAAATAAATTCAAATAGTTTATAAAACATTTAGGTACAAGATGTCTACAGATTGGTTATTATATCACATATGTTGGCTTCTTAAGAAAGACGTGTAGGAATTTCAATAATTACAGGGCCCAAGGGAAGAATTTTGATTTAATTATTTGACTCCAATAATGAAAAAATCTCATTTAAAGGGCAAAAGACGTAATCAAGTTAACTTGTATTTTCAGTAGTATGTTAAATTTACAATGGTACCAATAAAAGCTTTGTTTGGTCAAGAAGCAATCATTTATTTTAAACTGTGGTTTCTCTATAACTCTGACTTACATATTTATTGCTACACAAACATGGATGAAACTTGAGAAACACTTTCCAAGCTAGAAATACGACGATATCTTCCATCCACAATTTTGCCGAAATCAATGTTAAAAGGGCCCGTTATCAATTAGACATGACTCTCTTTTTTAAAATAAAAAAATCACCTCGAATTTCAACGAACTTTTATTATTAATCTTTTTCTCAAAACACAACCACAATTGTGCTCACCTGAACTGACGTTTTAAAATCATCGAAACTAAGAGACAGAACAAGAGCAAAGTTTGCTTTACAGATGATGAGTTTCCAAATGTTGTCTTCAGTTTCCTGGGACCAAATCTGAAGGTGGGTCACCTTCAATCTGTCCTGCTCCTTCCAAACTAGAACAAGATTAGTTTGTATTTCAAGAGTTTGTTATACAAGTTTTAAGTTTATCTTTTTTAGATTTCCCAAAGAAGTTGAGTTTGAAGATATTTTTGACAGCTTTTCCTTTTTAACATTTCTTGGAATTTTCTTTCTTTGGCTAAAAGCAAGGATGTATATTTTATTTAGGCTATAAATCAAAAGAAAGTACTACGACAGAACTTCTTCTGGAGAGTTTGGGCTTAGGACTAAAAGCAGGGTAGTATATTTTCTTAAAATATCATATTTTTCCTCAGAAAAAATTAAGGGTTTTATTCACTTTATTGGGAAAAATAAATCAAATGATTTTAGAATAAAATAAAATAAATAAAGTTTTGGGTAATATGTATCAAAAATAAAACTTGCCATTAAAAGCCAACTTTAAATTTCGTCTCCTATAATCATCAAAAATCATTAATATTAATTCTTGAAATTTTATTTCCTTGGCTAAAAGAAAAGAAAATGTTCTTTTATATCATCCCTATGCCTGTAAATTATTTAACTTTAAGCTAATAGCATAATGAAAAAGATTATATTCATTTTTTAATGATACCTTGACAAGGTTTGACAGATGAGTCTAGAATGACTGAAACTCGACCGTCCACAGAACCAAAATAAGTCAATTTCCTAGAAATAACAAATTTAAGTGGGAGGCCTATTTGTACAAATTAGTTAAACAATTACGCTTTTTTGCTCTATAAATGTGTAGTGTGTACTTTTTATAACTAATTAAACTAATTAAAATTATAATCATTAAAGTATTGTTCCTAAATTGATAACTTACCTCTCTTGAATCTGTTGTGTTACAAGAGCTGAGATAGAACCTTGCTCCGGGTTTAGAATCTTCTCTACTCCAACCTTACCGGAGACTAGAGTCCAAAATACAAGCTGGCCACCCTCCTGTCCACTTACAAACCTTGATTATATTCATTTAAACAAATTAGTTTCAAACATTTCATGTTCATGACCGTTGACTAGTCGCCAACAGATTTCTAGAAAACCCAGGGTTGCAGAGAATAAATTTATAATTAGGAAACTGAAGTTATGAACTCCTTCGACTCTAAGATAAAGGTTGATAATAAATATCTTTTGCATTAAAATGAACACCATAAAATGGAATCTGTTTCGGACCACCAGACCGCGCGCCGCCATGTATTAGGGGTAAAATGGAAATAAAAACAAATTTTCTTTTTTTTGAATACCTGTCCTGTTCTGTCCAGTGAACTGTTAGTGTCGCTGCGAGGTATGCTCGTCTTTTAATATTCTCCTCTCTCTCATTCTCCCCCTTCTCTAGACACTGAGTTCGCAAAAGTTTAGGATGGGTTTTCATATACTGGAGTAGGGTTGAGGTTAGGTCGGAGTAACAGACCCATTCCACGAGATCAGGTCTGTACTCCAGCAACCTAAAGGAGTACGGTTAATATTTATTTATATCAGGGTATACAGTTGATCTAGTCTCTAGAACAAAGGAGAAAAACGATATTAATGTGATCAATCAGGAAAAATAAGTCAGTGTCCATAGAGGGAGGGGGTGCAGGGCCGCCATGAGCCCCACGAAATGACCTCCCCTGAGCCTCCGATGCACAGATTGACCTCCGAGCCCCTCAAAACCGTCTCCGCGCCATTCGCTACGTCTCCAAGCCTCCGCCTTTTGTCTCCACGCCCTACATTTTGGTCTCCAATTAAAGATGTTTGGCTTTTACATCCATACAAAAAAAAACATTTTTTCAAAGAATCTTAAAATAATTAGTTTTAATGTACATAGACAATTTGTTTTGAAAAGTATTTTTCAATTGAACTTACTATCAAACTATATGAGCACTAATTTAAAAAATAAAATATTTTTAGTTAAATACTTGAATTTGTACTTCTACAGAGCATCACACAATCAGGTTGGAAAAATTTTAAGTTAAAATAATTATCCCGTAGGTTCTGACAACGGGGTTGCTTCTTAGTGGTCCCAGGTAACTCCCCAGCTGATTCAACAAAATCAGAAAACTTATATTTTCAAGCAATATTGATTAATTGATTGAAATCATGTCATATCTCCAGTTTCAGCAAGCTAAAGAAAAGAAAAAAATATTTTTAGAATTCTCAAATCGGACTTGAAATGTTTTTTTTTAATTCTGATTGTTACATTAATAATTTTATAACGTTATAAGGGCTCAAAGATTTTTCTATGATATCTATAACACATAAGTCTGGTTTCCAACAGGCTCTAGACAAAAAACTATAAATTCTTAAATGGCCTATTTTGAACAATTTGCTTAGTAGCTTTTCCACGTAAAGTATAAGATGGTTGTGGTGCTATTAGGGCGTAAGCCTTAACTGATTATCTTTATTTAATGATTTTCTGGGCAGGGTTACTGCTTTAAAGTACATTTTGTAATTGTGTAGCCCCCCCCCATCCCCCCATAGAACTCAGAGCTATCTGCACATATAAATGAACGAAGAGCTTTATCATATAGATTACATTTGTCCTCCTACTTTTTTGGTCAACAGAAACTTTTACAAGTCATAATCATTTTCTGGATCTTTGTCTTTTTTTTCATCTCATAGAATTTAAGTTTAAGTTTAGTTTTTCATTTTCAGAAATGTCTATCTCTAGTTTAAATACTAACATATAATAAAATGTCTATTTTTTAGAAACATATTTTTTCTGCTAGTTTTGTTTCGAGGAGAGATAAAGAAGTACTTGCAAGGTAATTGGACTGCATGTGTACCTGTAAAGTATCTGATATCCAAAAAGCCAAATGTTTTGAATTTACAGTTCAAATTTTGCGCTTCGTGCAGATTTGCCCTTCCGAGCTATATTTCTGTATCCGCTCTTATATGAATTGAAATGAAATATAAATCTGAAGTTGAACCAGGGTTACCTAAAACTGTAATCCAAGGACAGGGTGAGAAGAAGGTAATCCTTCCTTGAACCTATATCCACTAGAGGACTCCAACCCACACATCTCATGGAACTAAACAATTAACTTTGTAATGTATCAAAACAAAAAATGTAAATTGTTATGTGAGATTTTAAAAGAAAAAGAAAAATGATTAAAGAGCTTTATCTACATATATTTTGCTAAGGAATCCGTTAGTTTGTTTGTATCCAGTAAAAATCAAAACAGCCCAAATTTTTTTGTGGTGACTCATATGTCAGAAAAATCTGCGACATTTTTTTATTTTTGTTACTTGAATAGCAACAGTTTACAGATGAAAGTTGTTCCTGAAAAAGCGGCGCGACGGGTCCTTAAAGCCTTTATTTTGAGCTTTCGGATCCCAAAACAAGAAAATGTCGTAAATTCACATTAAAAAAATATGACGTGATTCATGTCATGGCTTATGATTTAAAGCAGCCCTTAAAAATAAATTTTCACATCTGTTCAATTATAAATTAAGTAATAAAAAAAGTAAAGAGACAGGTTAAAAATTCTAAAACACTAAGAATGAAATTACAGGATTACATATTTTCTTGAGAAAAATCATCGTTTCTTTTTCTTCATAATCATTTTTACTTCTTTAGTATGTTTTACGCTTTCATGTTTTTTTTTTCGCGGTATTGGACAAAATACGTGGGTGAAAATAATCTTAGAATTTCAATCTTTAAAACAAGGTCAGAATAATGAGTAAAGCAGATTATTTGGTATGAAAAAAATCAAATCTAACTTACTTTACACTCTTTGAGTCTTGGCTAAGTGTAGCTAAAACCCTATCCTGTAGAATCTGGTTTTTTAAATCCTCGGATATATCGGACAAATCCTAAATATATTGAAGATAATGTATTTGAAATTCAATTTATTTGTCTGCAATAATTGTCTAGTTTCTAATTCTGTTTGATTGGCGGATTACCAAATTTTACGATTTTAAACCGACCAAAACCTGCTCCGGAGTTATGTGAGGTACCACAAACAAACAAACATACAGACAAGCTAAATAGTTGAAGTGGATACAAAAGACCGAATTTTAAAAGATCGAATGACAAAATGACAAATGCTCGTGAGTACTTTTGCCCAACACTACAAGTGCCCGACATTTACATTTGCAAGAACAGAACCTACAAAATCCTGAAGTGACCCAATCCGGAAGCTACAAAAAGTTTTTAAAAATATATTTTTTTAGTTAAAATAATTTAACGTTTTTTAGGTTTGTTGTATTTCCATACCATATTTTATTATCTACTATAAGGCTCAAATAAGATATTTTTAGGCTGGCTCTTCGAAATTGGTCGCAAAATAGGTATTTAATCTATTCTCTTGTCAAGTTGAACAGTGTGGCCCAGCGTTAAGCGGCTACATAAGCAGTTCACCAGCTTCATTAAGTCTCATAAGTCATAACACTATAATTATAGGGATCCTATTTATGAAACATTAAAATATTTTGTCAAGGAGTACCTGGTTAAACTTATTAGGTGCTGTTGAAGGTTTGGTTTGGTTTGGAATAAATGCCTTGTGAATGTTCAGCTGGGGGAGGGTACAGGTTGGATTAAGGCCTAGTTCCAGTACATATATTCCCTTTCTACAGGATACAGCTAACCTAAAATATGAAAACTTTTAGGGACTGTCCATGCAGTGTTGACATACATTTAAGCGAACCTTCATTTAACTACATTCACAAAGATACTCATTTTAAAACAATTATCTAAGAAGATATCCCTTTAAAAAGTTTGTCTCAGCAAAAATTAAAATACACTTGTTTTTTATTGTCAGAAAAAAAAGAAAAATTTTACATGCGGATTCTCTGTGAAAATAAATTTTTTTACGGCGGGGGCGATGAAGGCATTTAACCGTATTTATCAACTTTTAGATAGAAAATACGACAACATCGATGTTAATTGCTCATACAACTTTGTTAATATAAGGTCTCTCAGTCCCTTAAAAGAGAAGAAGAGAAGAGAAAACTAAATAACTATTATCGAATAATTATAGGCGAAATCTAAAAATTGACAAACAACAGCTGCGTCTTCACAAGAAAAAATTATTTTAAACACTTTCAGGTTGTGCGATAAAATGTCTAATTTTTGACCTGTTCCGGTCAATCCAGGAAATAGACTAAATCACACATTTTGTTCACATTTGACTGCTATACAATTATACAATCTGCTGTTATGTTATGTTAGCTTGGGATTATATCTGTTAATCAATTTGGTTCTCAAAGTTTGCTAAAATTTTCAGAACTATCAAGATCAAATTACTTCAAGATTAGTCTTTCCCCAAATACAATCTGCTCATGTTATTTATATAGGTGGTGGTCGAGGTTTCGTGATAAAAAAATAAAAATTGTATTACCCGAGGTTAAAAACTTTTTCCCGTCAAAATGGAAAGTGAAGAAAAACACAAGCGTGATAATAATAATTGCTATCCAATCCTAAAATTTCATTAAGATCGGTCTGACCAGTTGAGAGATATATTCATAAGAATCTCCAACATTTTGATTAAATAGATCCGATTTATTGTTCAGTTGAACATAAAAATAACACAGTAAACATTTGCACATTTATAAAAATCTCCTCTATTCTTTTGGTGAAATTTTTACCGCTCTAACTCTTAGATCTATTATTGATAGCCTTGCTTAGACACTATACCTAAATTGGGAATTTTCCTGAAACAATTTTGCAAATTTTCTCCATTTCCATGAGTCTAATTTTTATGAAATATTAGGATTTTTTGTGGTACCATTTGAGTATCAAAAATACTAAAACAATATTCCAAAATATTGCAAAAATGTTTAATGTCTACGTAACCAACCTGTTATTTGGGGACCACTGCATAGGATGCGCTGAGCTAATTTGCGCGGGAAAATGCAAAATGTTTAATATTTCCGCCATTTTGGTTTCTGCAAGTATTTCTATAATCATTTATAAATCTGAAAATTAACTACAGAACAATTGGACAAGATCAGGACTAAGAATCAGGATTGGATCAAGTAGGTTTTGATATTTATTTCTATTTAAGGTTGTCAGCTGTTAAAGTTAATATTATTATAACGCGTCTAGAGGCTGCAATAATTTATTAAACTACTACCCAAAATTGCAATTGATATTGCATAAATTGCAATTGCAATTTTACTTCTTACACTCTAATGAAATTACTCATTCAAAAAATATAATCTAAACTGACATGTTTTAAAAGCTTTCATGGATATATATTTCTTAGAAATTTTCCACTAGCTATTATACTGTCAAACAAATGATTTAAGATGGGGGGATTATGTAAAGTAAAATAATTTTCTTTCAGATGAATGATCTTTTTTCTTGTTTTTTTTTCTACTTGACACCCTGTATTTTAACTATGTAGATTATGCTTCACTCGTAGGATTTGAATTCTTCCATTCATTGTCTTTCTTTGTTCCTTCTTAAACAAGAAAAATGGTAAAAAAAATTTAATTAAAATTTAAACAAAATAAGAAAATAGTTTACCAAAACTTGATTTTTTCGGATTGAATTTTAAACTTAAATAAGTTAATTTTGCATGCTTTTTTAACACAAAATTTCCAGCCATTTCAAATTTACATAAAGATTAAAAAGTTATTTAAAGTGATAACCAAAAATAAGTGGAATGGAAGTTTTTTGATTAGGAACGTCTCATGATTTTGTATTTTGTTACTGTTATAACTTAAAAAATTACATTTGAACCAATGAACAAATTAAGAGATATAACAATGTCTTGGAACACATTACAAAGTCTTAAGCAACGTTTATTGTTAAAATATTGAAAGAAAACAACTTAAATTGATAAACGATTGGATTGAAAAGAAAAATCAAATCAAATCAGACTTCTAGGTTGTCTTTAGTCCATTCTATAGTTCCAAAATGACTGTACTAGATCGAAATTTTAGACTGGGTTTACGATTTGCAGTGAGTCAACGTATTATTTATAGAATCTATTATTAGTGTAAATTTCACGCAACAGACAACCGACATTGTGCCAGTTTACCAAATTAGATATCAACATTATTCTAAGTATTTGTACTTATAAAGCATAATGATTGATATCTGCCCCACTGGATTTTAGTATGATTAGTCATATGTAAGATTTAATTGATGTAATTGAGGTAAGTACTTAGTTGTACTATGGATAGTACTATGAAAAATTATGCATCATTAAGAAGTACACGATCGTGATTTGGAACATAAAACTGATCTAACCGATTGTAGTATGCTTTTAGATTATAATTCTGATAATGAACTAAGTGATATGGATTGGTATTACGCAAAATCTAATATTCATAAAATTTATTATTAAAACATTGAAAGAAGACAACTTACATTGCTAAACGATTGGATTGAAAAGAAAAAATATTGTGCGGCTACTTTTTAAATATGGTTTGATCAGACTTACCCATTACTGCGCGATTAGCCATCGCCATTCTTAATTGCTTCATTTGCGCCTCAGACATTCTGCAAAATTTCATTTTTTAATGTATTTGTGTTTTTTTTTTGTTCAGGCTTGAACAAATTGACAAAATAAATAGCACCTGACTTCGTGTGTGTTTTAAATCAAAGGGGCGAAGCGCTCTGAATTTCTAAACACTAAAATATTTTCTACCTGTAATTGTATCTACACACACCCCAGTATCCAAAAAGAACAGCACTGTAGGTACCAAAAGCTAATTTATATGGAGCTCTGAAAATAAATAAAAATCATTAGTAAACTTATTTATGTTTTTGATAAATAGTGATACTTCATATTTGCTGTAAAATAATAATAAAATATCCTTGTATCCCATGCTATCTGTTGTATCCCTGTAAATATTCTGTATCCTACAGTATTCCTACAGTGTACTGGTGTATCCCTAGATTTCTGATCCGTTTATGTATGTATCCCTTCTTCTTCCTCTAATCTCTATACTTAAAATACGATGTATGTTTTCTTTTATCTTTTTAGTCTGTATAGTGTATATATAATATATATATCAAGGAATCTTATTAGATATGACATTGTACGCGTAAATATGAAATCTGTATCCCCCTGTATAATATCCATGGATCCCCAAGTATCAAATCAAATCAAATCATGAGTGTTAGGGAAAGCTTTAGTATTCCTATATATCCAACTAAATTGTATTCCTGTATTTCCCTGTATTGTATCCCTTTATCCAAACTATATTGTATCTCTTTATCCCACTATACTGTGTCACTATATAACCCTGTATTGTATCCCTGTATCCCCCCTGTGTTGTATCCCTGTATTACTTTGTATTGTATCCCTTTATCCCACTATATTGTGTCACTATCATACCACTGAATTGAATCCCTGTATCCCAATGTTTTGCATCCATCTATCTTCTTGTACTGTATCCCTGTATCCCCCTGCACTGTATGTATACCTATGTCCCCCAGGATTGTATCCCTGTATCCCCCAAAATTTATCAGGATCCCTGTAGATCTTTGTGTCCCTGTATCCCTCTGTATTAATCTATATTTATCAGTATCCCTGTATCCCAGTATCTGAGTAACTGAACCTGGATGTAAGTAGATTGTATGATACTCCCACTAGCATCCCAGAGAGAATAGAGTAGAAAAAACTGTCCCGGAAACACGGTATTTTAGACAAATCAGTTCCTAGACAATATTAAACCAGTTAACTATGATTAGAGGAGTCAGTGTATATGAAAGATAAAGGGATGATAAAATGACATAAAACATGATAAGGAGATGAAAATGGAAAAAATAGAGTTCATGGATAAGAAGATACCAAAGTATGGAATATGGAAGGATATGAAAAGGAGAGTATTAGAATACTTAATTACTGAGTTTGAGTGCATAGTCGACGTTCAAAATCATGAATTTGGGTGGGTACGTTCTCAGAATCGGATTTTTTTAAATTATTAAATAATGACGACGAAAAATAATCTAAAAATTAAACAGTAGACTAATTATATGGTTAGGAACATATTTCTCAAATGAAATTTATCAATAAATCAATGCTAGAATCAATTATTTCGTTTTCATCATTATATTGAATTTCTTATTTTCTATGAATTTATTCGCAAATTTCTACAAATTCCTCAAATGTCGTCTTTATAATAAAAATTCCAGAAAATCTTTGTGAATAATTGAGAGATTGTAGAAACTAATAATTGAATTTTCAATTACTTATTTTCGATTATAGAATTAATTTTTATTTTCTCAACCTGTTCCTAAACAATTAAATAGTTTACTGTAGAATTTTATTTACATTTTTTGTCGTCGTTATTTAATAATTAAAAAAAAAAAAAAATTCTGAATACATATCCACCCAAAAGTATGATTTTGAACGCCGACTTTGCGCTTAAACTCTTCAAAAAGTATTATATGTCTCAAATGAATCCTATAAAATTTGTCCACAACACTGCATACTCATTTCAACTACCTTACATAGCCAGTCTGTCCCATCAAAGGATTGAATAAAGAAAAGATTTTAGGGGGAGGTAAAAATATCGAATAAAATAAGAGGAAAAGGAGAAAGAATAATTAAAAAACTAGGACCAAAACGTTTTGTTAAAAGCTAGAAGTAGTTGAGCTACGTAAACTAGGTTGAACCACAATTGTGTTGTGCGCCGGTTCAATATCATGAGAAGTGGTGCAACTCAATCTATCACAATATTTAACGATTTCTCGCCGTCTTGATTAAATTCTGTCCCTGATAAATGAACCAATAACTAATGTGATAAAACTATGACTCTAGAAATTGTAAACTAAGCGGCTCTGAGTTAGTAAATATAATGTGTATGTACATTATTTCACGTGATGTAATAATTTAAACCGGTATAAACATTGAACATCATTCTCAAAAATATATTAATAACATTATAATATCTAGCTTTAAGTAATAACTCCTGTATCGTCTCTTATCTTAAATCGACAAGAAAAATTTAATGAACTGCTCTCACCGTAATAATTCGTAAAAACCGTTAGAGAAGCTGGACGAACATACCATTTTCAAAAATATATCCCATCGAAAAAAAATGAGAAATGTAAATGTAATTGGTAAATAAAAATGCTTTATCACATTTGAAATATTTTTACCAAACAAAATCAACAGTTTATTGTGTTCGTAACACAACAAGGTTCTGATACGAATCTTTGTTCATATTTTGCTGACAAATATCATCTATAGGATACACTTTAAGTTGTTGCAATGAGGCTTCTGTTATGTCGATTAACGAAGGACTGTTCAAATACATGAAATAAGTTCTTTTCTGCGTGATCAAGATTGAAGAGTCTGAAGAGAATACAGGACAAATGAATTCTAGTTGTTTTTCCGACGCAAGATATAAAGATGTGTAGGGAAAAATAGCAATTTTCTAAATTAATCCCTCCTAACTACGAGCTTGAATGTTTTAATACCATTAAAATGCCATCCTTTCCTATCAATTTCCGGCTCATCCTCAGCATATGCCATTTTTAATTTTCTGAAACTAAAATAATTAAGAAAGTATTTGTTAGTTTGATTTATTGTAACTTGTTATTCTATTCGGTGCGAATAAATATAATAATCATAAATATTTGTAGACAAGTATAAAAGTATAAAACGCACTGGAAAAAATCACATTTAGGATAAAATCAGTCCGCTAATCTAAATTAAAGATAGACACACACAAAAAAATAATTCGAAGAAAAGAAGGGGTTTAACTACCAATTTACAAATTTAGCAGTGATAAAGTTTCAGTGTACAAAATAAATATGTAAACTGTGCAGTACAGTGTACACTGAGCACAATTAATAAATTTGAGGGTTTCTCCCCTACTTCGCATCTAATCATTTACGAGAAATGGTTTTCCCGCCAAAAATCACTTAAAAAATAATATAAATCATTTCTAATTTAACGGTTGTTAGACAAAACAGAAAGAAAAATTTAATACAAAATAATCAATGAAAGATTTGTGCTAGCACAGGGTTGGTTGGAAGGAACCTTTTCTAAAGGCTGGTTTTACCGGTGCGCTCTTTTGATCTGAACGAGCGGCGATATCAACGCTGATCTGACCGGCGCGCCCGAGTTTCTCGATTTATCCGTTCATGACTGTTCTAACGAAGTTCTCGTAGTTGATGTTTCCCTTGCTATCCTCCTGACCTAAATAAAAAAGGTTTAAACTTAAACGCAATAGAAATTGGTAAAATTATTTAAATACCTGGATCTAAAAAATTCCATCAAGATTTATTTTTTTCTCTTATTTGTTACGAAAACAAAATTTTTTACCTTGTAGAATGTAGATAGTTGGGTCAAAAAAAAATTTTATTTCACCCCAAAGTTAAAGGTTTCAAGCGCAAAGAACACTTTAAAGTTTCTGTCGAACTGTGGAAAAAATATTTATGAGGGAAGGGGTGGAGCAACTTTTAATTGAGTTAAAACGCTGAATTGACCTAAGTGACAGTAAATGATATGCCTGATGCCTAGGGTGGCCCTTGATGTCACCAATCATTTCATTTGTGATCTAAGTACAAAAATGCAAAATAAATTTTTCCCAACAGTAAAATCGTATGCCCACAAAAAATCGCGTTTTTTTATTTTTAGCAAATCTTACCTCTTGTTTAAACGCACTTATCAGTCATATGAAGACCAAATATGAAGAAATTTCTTTTATAAAAGTTTTAGAATTATAAAATATGCGTAATATTGCCTTTTAACACGATAACTCGTTAGTTTTATTATAATTACGCAAATCAAATGTATAATTATGGAAATGCACTTTACTCAACACAATAATAGTTTTACAAAAAAAGCATTATTTTTTTGGTGGGGGCTATTAAGAGGGGTGAACGAGTAACGAACAGAAACAAATTTCTCTATTTTTCTATTTTTTTTTGAGAAAAAGACAAATTATTTTTCTTGCAAAAAAGACATTTTGTATAAAAAATCCATAAAAAACATCAGCTTTCCAAAAAATGGCTTATTTTGTTCTTTCTATCAAAACTGACCGAAAAATGACAAAAAAAAATATGAAAAATCCCCAAAAATTACTAAAACTGAAAAAGACCGCGATTTTTTTGCGGGCAAGCGATTTTACAGTTTGAAAAAGTTAATTTAGCATTTTTGTACTTAGATAACCTTTTTTACATATGAAAAAACTTAATGAAATGATGTGAGACATCAAGGGCCACCCTACTAATGGCAAATGCTGGGAACATTCTTTTTAAAGATAGGATTACGATTCATAAAATTCCCTCTCTTGACGTCATTTCAAGTAACTCTCAAATTATAGAGTTACGTGTCCGATTCATAAGGGTACCCTTTAACCCTTTATCAAATAACAATGAGGAAGATTTTGTCGTTTGAAATAAATTCTGTAGAATTCCTTCCTTATCACAGCAGCATAAAACCGCTTAAAAGAGAAACCGCAATTAAAAATCGTCAATTTTCAGATGAAAAAAGGGATCTCTATAATTTTTGCTCTGACAAATGTTTAAAATGTATTGTATGAATCGGGCATGTTATAAATTTTTCAGTATGGAGTCAGTAAAGTATAGTGGACAGTCCTTTAAATGTATTTATTCAGTTATATATATTGACCTGCAAGGAGCTGTTCTGCCTCCTCGTCAGATAGTTTCTCTCCAAGGGTAGTCAGGAGATGACGGAGCTCAGCGCTAGTGATAAAACCGTTCCCGTCCTATAACAGGGTTATCTTTAGATCAGATCAGTTCAGATCAGTTCAGATCAGTTCAAATCAGTTCTGATCAGGTCAGGTCAGGTGAGTGTCTAAGTGTCTAAATGTTAATATAATAAAGGACTTTGTCAAAGTGCCTAATTGTAAATTTAAGAAAGTACCTTGTCAATTGTCAAAAGTGTCTAAGAGTAAAAAAAGAAAGTACCTTGTCTAAGTGTCCCAGTGTCTAAATGTAAATGTAAAAAAGTACCTTGTCAAAGTTTCTAAATATAGATATAAGAAAGCACCTTGTCAAAGTGTCAAAGTCATGAGCCTGGGGTATATATTTTTCTGTTAATATGAGCTTTCGTTAGGTTTGGGTGGAGAAAAATAAAGATTAAGGGGAGTGACCGGCTATGTAAGGTAGTTGAACTGAGTATAAAAAAAACTAATTCTGAAAACGTATCCACCCTCTAAGTAAGAGTTTTGAACGTAGAATTTGCGCTCAAACTCAGGATTTACTGATCTTTAAAAAGTTTAACATGGCTCAAATGAATCCGAAAGAAATTTTCCACAACACTGCAAACTCAGTTCAACTACCTTACATAGCCGGTCACTCCCTTTAAAGGAAAAAGGGGGAAGGGAAGGGGAAAGGGGAAGAAAAAAGGGGGAAGAGGGAAGGAAAAAGGGGCAACCATCTACACTTTCAGTAGAGGAAGCCAAATCATTTTCCTCTGAACCTTTCTGAACAATGAAGAGTGCAGACAATGAACCTTGTAGATTTTTGGACTTAGTAAAAAATAAAATAAAAAATGATACGGTTATTATAGTATAGAAATTATAGTAATTATAGTAAAGTGTCAAAGTGTCAATAGTGTAAATTTAAGAAAGTACCTTGTCAAAGTATCAAAGTGTCTAAGTGTAAATATAAGTAACCTTGTCGTGTTTAAGTGTCTAAATGTCCATTTAGCAAGTCAGCCACCCCATGGAAATCAGTGTCAGTGAGTTTGAAATTTTGGATTTACTTTCATCAAATAATATGCTAGCTGTTTGAGAAATTTAAAGAAAATCCATGACATTGATTTCCATGAGGTCCAAAAACTGGCTGAGTTCATAAATCAAATAATATCAAATATACATATTTACCTTAAGCATATATAAATAATATATTTTAAAATATATTTATGATACTTTAGACGGGGGAGCATAGATAGCCAGGGGCTGTTTAAGAGGCAGACAGACCCCCACTGGAGAATGACCCCAAGTGTAAATATAAGAAAGTACCTTGTCAAAATGTCTCAGTCCTTCAATGAAATCATCACTAGTATCAGTAGAACTACGACCACAGATCGCCTGAATATATAAAATATTCTTCCCAATAAATAATTTGAAAACAAAAAAAGGAAAATTAGAAATCAAGAACGGTCAGACCTCTCTCTTATTATACCTAAAAAATCGTTAAAACCTATCAGAAATTTGGTTATGTTCTAATTAAAAATTGTATACAAAGAAATGTTGCCAATTTTTACAGTGAATCAACGTATGCAATCTCTCCCACGAAACCTTTGATTCAGGGGCGTATGAGAGTATTTGTGCACACTGCACACCATTAAAAAATCCTTTTTAATGTTAATAAATTATTCATGTAATTTTCTTTAGTGGACTTATCAGACACTTCCATTAATAGTGTGGTATAAGATTCAAGGGGTGAAAACTAGAGATGGAAACGTTTCTTAAAAAAAAACATCTATATTTACATAGGATTGATACATTTTGTATTATAAATAATGATATCAAATATATATTTACACTGAAGGCATTATTGATTAAAGCTTTTTAATGAAACTTTATTAGTTAAGAGCAAAAGAAATATTTTAAAGTATTTTTTTATCACACGATGTAATTATACTTAAATGGAATACATGCGTAATTTCAAGTGACCATCCATTTATAGAGTGGTATGTCCGATGTACCTTTAAAACCTTCATTTCTCCTTCGTTTCTGAAGCAAGAAAATCAGTTTTCAAAATGGGAAACAATGATATTTAAAGGGAGTGTTCGCGAAAAATGAAAGGGGGTATATGCTTAATGCGATAAAAAAGCGCTTTTGATCGCCACTAATCTTACTTCTATCTGTTGCGTCTATAAGGAGAAAATTGTTAAAGACGTCTCATACCGAATAACATGGCGTCCATACAAATTCAGAAAATTGCAACATACGACTTAGACCGTAAAAATATCAATTCAATATCAAACAAATCATTCAGATATTACAACCTATAGTCATCGATTATCTTTCGCCACATTTATATATAGTTGATTTTTCATAATATGTTTTAATCGTTATGATCTGAGAGTTACTTATAAAAACGTTTATTCCTGTTTCGAGGATTTTTGGTAATGAAGACGACATTTTCATATTTTCCAAGAATGTTCGAAAACAAGTTGTAAGCTAAATATTATTATAAAAAACAAAATCAAAACTAGTATGAAATACTAAATATATACAAATGTGGCGAAAGATAATCGATGACTATAGGTTGTAATATTTGAATGATTTGTTTGATATTAATAATTGATTTTTTAACGGTCTAAGTCGTATGTTCCAACTTCCTCAATTTGTATGGGCGCTGCGCTCTTCGGTATGAGTCGTCTTTATCAATTTTCTCCTTATAGACGCAACAGATAGAAGTAAGATTAGTGGCGATCAAAAGCGCTTTTTTATCGCATTAAGCCTATACCCTCTTTCATTTTTCGCGAACACTCCCTTTAATAATACTTGATCAGACAAAGCTTTAAAGGGTATTGTTGTAAATCAGTATTGAAATTATGTCTGCAGTCTCTTTAAACCTCTCAATTGATTCTATATTAATTAAACCCTCTGTTCCAACCCTTACGCTGAGTATCCTCCCTTTACCTTATACTCCCTCACCTTCCTCCTTACCATTTTCCTGATTTATCATCATTCTTATGTTTAAAATGTACAATGTACATTGTTTTTATCTGCAATTCTCATTCGTTCGTTTATAGTGGGCCAACCAATTAAAACAACTACTCTGGTTAGGCGGGTCCAAACTACATAGTAAATTGTGATTTTTTTATTTGTATTATCTCGTGCTTTGTAGTTGAATAAAATATGAAAAAAACTGCTTTGTAGGTTTGTGAACTTTAAAGGAATGAAAAAAGAAATTTACAAAATGATTTTTAATAATGAAAAGCTTTCAAAATACTGCCTCCACAATCAAGAATCATTGGTTTTTTTTCAACAAATCTTTTCAATATTTTTTCTTTTGGAATACTATCCAATATATCTGAATGAATATTTAAACGGGCCAAGTTGCAAAGCCTTGTAGGGAAATGCAAGCAGATGTAATATTAAAAGAGCCCCCTCCCCCCATGGGCCATGGGTGCCCCTCATGGGAGGGCACAAGTAGGGGGATGGGGTGCCCGACCCCCTCGTGCGCCCCTGTCTTTCTAGCTATCACATTCTTAATATTTTGTAAGTTCTAGTTCTTAGGTTTCTTGTCTAAAAATTATCATCTTTGATCGTCCCTGCAATCTGCATAATCGGATTAACTTTTCTGATCGTCCCTGCAATATGCATAATCGGATTAACTTCTCTGATCGTACCTGCAATATGCATAATCGGATTAACTTCTCTGATAGTTCCTGCATTCTGCATAATCGGATTAACTTCTTTGATCGTACCTGCAATCTGCATAATCGGATTAACTTCTCTGATCGTACCTGCATAATCGGGAGGAAGACCTCGAAGGTGACCCTATCATCTGCCTTATGCTCAACGACAAGCTTCTTCACTTCAGACTCGGTCGGGTTCTGTCCAAGCGCACGCATAACATCACCTTAAAATTAATTAGTTTCTCAAGAGCACCGAAACATTGCATTAGTCTATCTCTGCATTACAGAGAATGTTCACAGAAAATGAAAGGGATATAGTGTTAATAATAATTTGATTATGAATTGTATTTTCATCAGATTGTTTTGCTTTAATGAACGAATTTTAAAGAATTAGAGTTTGCTGAACTACCCACCGCGCACGCCGGTCCGACTATCTCTTAAGTGCTCACTGGCTCAAGTCTTGAATCACTGATTCAACGCACTATTAAAAGATACGCAGTTGACTTTTGAGCCGTGTCTCTAGGAAGTTCAAAGACTTCTCGCAATTAATGAAATCCGGTTCCACGTACATAAGATTAATATAACGATAGTAAAAACCGATTCATGATAAATCAAAACTCATCCATTTCTATTTATCTTTTTTAGTTAACATTTTCTTATAAAGAATAATTTTTTTTACCTATTTGAGAAACGGGGATTTTTCCATCTCCACGTTTGTCATACAAAACAAAGGCCTCCTAATAAATAGAGGATGAATATGAAAAATTTGAACCAAACAAATTATTTTTTTAACTGACGTTTTTCTTACTATGGCAGATTTAACAAAAAAGGAAAAATTAATTAATACAAGTAATAAAAATTGGATGATTACCTAAAAAAGAAGGATTTTAAAATTAATTTTGTAATTAAAAATTTCTTTCCGTCATATTTTACATTCCGAAAAATGTTAAAACAAAGAATCTTTCTTGGAACTTTAAACAAAAAAACATTTTACCTGAAACTCTGCAATCTGATCATCACTGAACTGAACTCCACGAGACATGGTAGAATCTGTAATACTAATATTTATTGTTAACTCAAGAACAGAAAATACTGCATCATGTTGTAAAATCTCCTTTTCCAATACTCTACAGCAGATTAATATATTATCATACAATACATCAATGATTTGTCAGGGTTGCTATTTTTCAAAAATCATTCATCCTCATCTTCGGAGGGAGTTGCGGGGGACTGAAATCCCTCCGAATCTGATCCCTCTGCCTCAGCCGTGGCGAGGGGATCATCACTAGTGAGAGTGGAGGGTTTCGCCGCGGATTCAGCTTTCTTCGGTTCAGGTTCCTTAGTAGTCTTGGAGCTGCTTTCTTCCTTCTCCTCCTCATCTTTATCCTCCTTCTCTTCATCTTCGTCCTCGTCCTCATCTTCATCTTCGGAGGAAATTTCAGGTTTCTTCTTCTGTGGAGATTTTTTTGCCGGAGATTTTACAACCTACAAAATGTTCAAATAAAAATCAATTCCGTGAATACTACCTTTAAAGAGCTTAAGATCTATTTCATTTTCAAGCTGATCAAGGTCATGAAAAAATTTTAAATTATTTTTCTTTTTTTTATTCACTAACTTTTGTGCTAAACCTTGAATTGTTCCGAAAAAAAAATTATAATTTCGCTTCACCAGTTTAGATTTGGGTTAAGAGCAAAAAGTTTTTTGTTTTTGGTTGAAATTTTAGCCCCTTGGATCCTGATCACTGGACTCGCATATTATTGAGGAGCCGGATCCTGGTAATCAAAATGTTGCGGATCCAACGGATCCAGTTCCTAGGCAATGCGTGACTGCTTAAACAAGATGTGAACTGAGTCTAAAACTAAAGAATGCGCGAATTTTAAGTTCGAGGTTAAAAGTTCTGTAAAATAATGAATAGCTAAATAAATATTTAACTTTCTCAATTTTAAATTTGAATTTCCCGGGAAAATCTGAACCAATCAGAGAAAAGGATTTACTGAGAGTATTACATAACCATCGCTAATCAGCTGTTTATCTAAAACGTGAAATTTCTTTAACAAGGTTTTCACTTTTAAATATATCGTTAAGTTGAATGCCGCTTTCTCAGCTGCAGCTGAATGATGATTGAATAATAGACAAATAGGGAAAATGCAGAATTTCAAGATTTTAAACCTGTGGTTAAATTTTAACTCGTCGATTTCGGCGAGTTAAATATTTAACCACAGGATTAAATATTTAACCTCCCGGTTAAAGTTCAGGTTTAAATTAAGTCAGAAGTGGCATTTAACCATGAACTTAAAATTTAAGTCAAAACTTTTGGTTCTTTAGTTTTGGACTCTGTTTGGTAAAAAAAAACACCGACCATGGATTTGGCTTTTTAAGAACAAAATTTTTCCCCTTTTCTACCGATCTGACGTCCTAAAAATTGTTTTTGGATAAAGTAAATTCAAATTTAATTATTTTTTCAAAATGCGGAAAATGTACCTTTTTTCTGATGTGAAAAAAAAATGAAAATAATTTCTACCTTTGGTTTTGCAACTATTTTCTTTCTTAGTTTTTCATCCTCTTCAGATCCAGCTTCCTCGCTTTCAGAATCTTCTTTCTTCTTCTTTTTCGGACCTTTCTTTGTCTCATCATCCGATTCTTCTTCCTCTTCCTCACTGTCAGAGACACCCTTCTTCTTCAGCTTTTTCTTCTTAGTTTCTTCTTCTTCTGATTCGTCAGATTCTACTTTCCTGGATTTCCTTTTCTTCACAGAATCCTAAATACATGTTAATTTTAGGATGCTTAAAAATTAGAAGCATTATTTTCATGCATGAAACTACGAATACATTGTTCACTGTAAAATATTTTTAACAGGGGGGCAAACAAAGTGATTATGGTACAGAACCCTTTAAAAAATAATCATTTTGCCCCCAACCCCGCCGTGAGAACAACTAATTTAATATACGCCTCAAAGCTACTAAATACTGGTTTCCAAATAAAGATGTTGTAATTTACAAGTTTTCCCGAACCTTATCTGAAGAATCCTCGCTAGCATTATCCTCCACCTCCTCTTCCTCCTCCTCCTCCTCCTCGACAAGCTCCTCATAACTCTTCTCAGGTTTAAACTCATCTTCTGTATCACTGTACTTTCTTGGACCTTTCCCCTTTCCCTTCACCTTCTCCGTGTCCTCCTCCGAGCTGCCAGCCAGCAAGGAGTAGTCAATATTCACCCCACGGGTTCGTCGGCCACTCCCCGTATCGACGATATTACTTGTGTCTATCTCACAAACTGGTTTCTTTTTCTTCTTTTTAGGGCGATCGTATTCTGAGTCGTCAGAATCCCGTCGACGAACCTTTTTACGTCCGCCAAAATTACTCTTGGTCCTCTGTCCTCGGCCCTTCTTCTTCTTTTTCCTGCCGTAATCTGATGAGACAGAATCGTCGGAATCATATCGCCGCCGTTTTTTTTTTGGCTTATAATCATCGGAATCACTTCCATCAACCACAAAATCGTCGTCGGACTTAGTTCGCCGCATTCGCGTCGACCGTCGCGTCGGCACTTGTCGTTTTTTACGTCTACCACCGAAATCGCTGTCACTTTCTGATACAGCATCGTTTATTTCTTCCTCTTCACTTTCACTTTTAGAAAGTACAAAATCACTCCCACTGTCCCCATCCCCACTATCATCACTAGCATTTAGGTCTGTTATCCTTTTCTTCTTTTTCTTTTTATTCCCACCACTTCCCTTCTTTCCGGCGACATCTTTATTTATTTTCATTTTAATAGGTTTAGGTACTCCGGGTTCTCCCTCCTCCTCCTCTTCATCCTCTTCACTTTCTCCGTTCCCGATATCCTTCCCCCTGCCCTGGCCTGATCTAGGTTTGCCAGGACTATCCTTCTCCTCTTCCTCCTCCTCGCTCTCCTGGAGTATTTTTTAATTAGATTAGTCCCAAAGACAGGATTTAATAAATAGAGAGAAGTAGTTGAACCAAATTCGATTAGTTAAACTTCCACTTCTAAACACACTAGAGAAGAAGTATAACTATCCGTTACAGTTTCTCATCACTATCCATAAATTCATACCTCAGAGGAATATATTATTACAGCCTAAGGACCCCCCTCCCACATTCCAAAACAGTTTTTTGTTCATGTCGCAAAAGTACGTATGTTTAGGAAGACAACACGACCGTAAAAACTATTTTAAGTGTTGGAAAACCATTAAAAAATAGGACAATGCCTTTTTTCTTTTTCTCCTCTTCATAAATTATTTTATCAGCGATAAAACAATGATTTTCGAAGGTTTTAGTTGGGACGGGACAAAAACTATGTTTTTGAAAATAATATTTTAAATGATAGTATTTCAATCGTAAATCAATGAAACTTTTTCCTGATCAGTATTAGTTGCTTTTTTTATTTTATTTTTATATTAATATTCACCTCAGGCTCCGAAGAAATTTCTTTTGGTAAAGGAGTTTTTCCATCAGTAGCAATTGCTTTCCTCATCACCTCATCATACTCTTCAGTATTATATTTCACTGTTCCCTAAACAGTTTTATTATATTTCCCTTTGCCCTAAACTGTTTTATTATATTTCCCTGTGCCCTAAACAGTTGTATTATATTTCCCTGTGCCCTAGGCAGTTGTATTATATTTCACTGTGCCCTTAACAGTTGAAATATATTTCACTGTGCCCTTAACAGTTGTATTATATTTCACTGTGCCCTAGGCAGTTGTATTATATTTCACTGTGCCCAAAGTTTTATTATATTTCACTGTGCCCTAAACAGTTTTATTATATTTTACTGTGCCCTTTACAGTTTTATTATATTTCACTGTGCCCTAAACAGTTGAGTTATACTTCTCTGTGCCCTAAACAGCTGTATTATATTTCACTGTGCCCTAAACAGTTGTATTATATTTCACTGTGCCCTAAACAGTTATTATATTTCACTGTGCCCTTAAGTTAAATTATATTTCACTCTGCCCTTAACAGTTGTATTATATTTCACTGTGCCCTTAACAGTTGTAATATATTTCACTGTGCCCTTAACAGTTGTATTATATTTCACTGTGCCCTTAACAGTTGTATTATATTTCACCGTGCCCTTAACAGTTGTAATATATTTCACTGTGCCATCTTTACAGCGAGGGTCACTTGAAATTACGCTTACAGTTCCATTACAGAATCTATAAGTAATTTCGTGTGAGACTCCTTCATAACACCTTTTTTTCTTCATAAGTTAAAATAAGCTTACAATATTTAAAAATGTATTAGCCTTGAGGAATTGATATATATTTGTAAAATAAAATTTGAAAACAAGATAAAATGTTACCGTTCTACACTTTCTCATCATCATAGGTTCATCTTCACTGTCGGAGCTGGAGGAGGATTCACTAGAAACAAAAATAAGCAGTGACAACTTGTCAAGAATTGTTTTTAAGTTTAAAAGTATTTTTCAAGAATCAGAGGCATTCCAGGGGTTTATATTTCTTGGAAAATAATTCCCCCCCCCCCTCCTGTTAGAAAATCTACCCCCCTCCCCCCCATAAGTTAGGTATGGTTGCGCGGAGCAGATTTTTTTGGTAAGTTTTCTTGATTTTTTGGGTAAAATAAATCTTTATGCATTTATGTTAATGAATTAAGAATGGTTTTGTCGGAACTATTTTTATTTGAATCCGAATCCGAATTAATGAGGATTTGAAGGAAAAACTCAGCAATGGAAACAAATCACAGCAGTTTAATTGCGGTTAAAAATTCTTCTTTTAAACATTACTTCTTAATAACAGATTTCTCGTAAATAAACTTAATTCTCAAGATTAAAGTTTACGCTATGTATATCAATTTTAGTCAATTTTATCTCAGATCAAAAGTTTTAGTCTCTGAATGTCCACGTTAGACAAAGCATCAATGACCAATCACTCAATCAATCTATTATACCTGGATATATAAGGTTTCTTTTCGTGCGGTTTCTTGTTCGGAGAGGTTGGTAAAGATTTGCTCAGACTTTTGTTTACAAAAGCTAATCGTTCTTTTCTTCTAGCTTCAGCTTCAGCTTTCTTGATAATAGCATCTAGTTCCCCTAGTCTATCTTCAAGAGCTGTTACTAAAGATCTAAAAAAAAAATTAAAAAATTTCAAAAGATGGAAAAAGATCTCGATCTCGATAGCTTAAATTAAATTTTATTAAAATCAATCAGATCATTTTGAGCAGTGAGCGCACAGAAAAAGAATTAATCGGAAGATAAAAAAAAGCAAACTTAAGAAGGTATTTTTAAGGTGGAAAGCAGAAATAGACCAAGAAATATAATTGGGAAAAAGTGGAAATAAAGATTAAAGATAAAAAGTTTGCAGTTGAGATGCAAAGAAATGAACATTAAATTATTATAAAACTGAGATAATGGGGATATGCGGTACCTAATAATAATTAGCAAAAAATAAGCTGATGGGAAGGGGGGTTGAGATGATACATAAGGACCGTTTGTTACCTATGACTGCAGTCTGGGCAGAACCAATCTCCCTCTGGTATAACCATGAGAGAAGGACGCAGACAGGACGCATGCCAACCAGCATCACAGTCATCACACATCAGAATCCATTCAGGATGATCACCATGTCCTGAACAAGACAATGGAGTCCAATACCAGATAATATATAGTTCAAATCAGATAACGGAGTTCAATAACAGATAATATCTAGATCAAACCATGATGGAGTTCGATAACAGACAATATCTAGTTCAATACCAGATAATAGAATTTACAACCAGATAATATAGTTTAATAACAGATAAAATGTTCAAAAACAGATAATAGAGTACCAGATGATAGTGAAGTTCATTAACAGATAATGGAGTTCAATAAAAGATAATGGAGTTCCATGCCATTTAATGAAGTTCAGTACAATATAATGAAGTTCAATACCAGAAAATGGAGTTCGATAACAGATAGTGGTGTTAACACCAGATAATGGAGTTCAATACCAGATAATGGAGTTTAACATCAGATAATAGATTTAAACAACAGATAAAGAATTCAACACCAGAAAAAAATTAAATAAAATTACATTTCAGGTACCTAATTGATCTGTTAAAGAAACCATTTTGTCATAAAGTAAGTATAACTCACCGCATTTTTTACAAGGGAAGTCGTCTTCATCTTTAGTTCTGGTACGTGCATGCTTTACGGTGACCTGACACAATCAATTACTTTTCAATAATCAATGTGTACTTTTAATCTGATAAAAAAGTCATCAGTCATCAGTCATCAGTCATCAGTCATCAGTCATCAGTCATCAGTCATCAGTCATCAGTCATCAGTCATCAGTCATCAGTCATCAGTCATCAGTCATCAGTCATCAGTCATCAGTCATCAGTCATCAGTCATCAGTCATCAGTCATCAGTCATCAGTCATCAGTCATCAGTCATCAGTCATCAGTCATCAGTCATCAGTCATCAGTCATCAGTCATCAGTCATCAGTCATCAGTCATCANTACAGTCTACAGTCTACAGTTTACAGTCCACAGTCTACAGTCTATAGTCTGCAGTCTACAGTCTACAGTCTACAGTCTACAGTCTTCAGTCTTCAGTCTACAGTCTTCAATGTACAGTCTAGGGTTTACAGTCTACAGTCTACAGTCTACAGTCTACAGTCTACTGTCTACAGTCTACAGTCTACAGTCTACAGTTTTCCTGTATTCCTTGATAAAGAGTCCGTCCTTTTTAAATAGTTCTAATGAAACCATTGTTTAGTTCAAGGTCTTGAATTCTGATCACATTCAAACCAAACCTATCCGGATGTACTTGTGGTTTGGTGTGTGTGTGTGGAGGGAGGGGGGTTAGGATATCATGTACAAACAGAGTAAAGTGATGGCATAACTCATGTCCTAAATCCAAAAAAATAAAAGCCTTTAGCAAATAAAAGCACAATAAAAATGTCGTCTTAGGTTGAAGATTTGTTACTAGCCCAGCATTAAAGGAATTTAGTTGCTGCCCGCTCAAATGTTTTAATTCGTATATCTTTTCAATCTGATGGTTTAAACATTTGATATTATAAGCTTAGAATATTTGATCCAACAGAATTTTTTAATTTAAATTATCTAAGGTCTTTGACATCAGGTTGTTAAGATAAAGGGACTAAAAATCAGAGTTTGTTGCATAGACTCAATTCCTTTATGGAAAGAAAGATATAATATTGAAGCAAAGATAATAGAATATATATTAGAGGGGAATTTACTAGAAACAATTGTATAACGGCCATTTTGTTGTACTGTTTCCATAGTCCATACTGCAGGTGTACTTCACATATTTATGCTATATAACCTTTTGGGCCCTGGAATATCATTTTATAGAAAATCTAAAATTAATGTTAAAAGAAAACCAAATTATGAAATAGGCTGGTTTTATAATTGACCAATGATCATTTCACATAGACTCTTTGCCTTTCACTTTACAAACGATGATTTTCCGTTATAACTATAAATTAAATGGTTTTTATTCACCTAATTCATTATAAAGTTTATTTAACAGCTTTAAAAATTTGAAATTGAAATTGATAGTCTAGGGAACATACTGCATATAATTTGTGAATTTTTACATGATTTGTACACTTTGAACTCCCTTTCAGGCTGAAAGGGACTGCAAAAATTCATACCGATAGATTCTTTAAATTCCTCTCTAATATATATTCTATTCTCTATGTATTGAAGCTGTCAAAAATCATGAGGCTTTAAGGTATTCCACATAAATGGATAAATAATTATTACAAATTAGTTAGGCAACAGCTTTTATTTATAACAGACACACTTAGAAATCATCTTGTAAAGGAAAATTGAGTCTTTGCAACAAACTCTAATTTTCTAATTCCTAAAGCTAAGGAACCCAATTTTGTAGCCATTTGATATTTCAAACTATGAATTCTGTTATCTAAAATAATAAAAGTTTGAAATATCAAAGGTGTAGACCACAAGGTTACAAAGATATAAGCATTAGAATATTTGATTTTGTGGCAAAGACTCAGTTACAAAGTGAAAGCAGCTTAACACCTTTGATTTCTCGAAAATGATTAGAAAAGTGTTAAAAACAAAGATGACTTTATCACAATGTGTAAATACAACTAATTAGATTCAACATTAGGAAAAGTTTGAAAATCTTTACAATATGCTTGTCAACCATTAACAATAGGCTCCGTGTAAAGTCGTCTTTAACTTAGATCCCCTCTCGGAGACACCTAAACCAAACCAAACAATTTAACCCGGGTTTCTTTGTTCTCCCTGTCCTGTCGGAGTCGTAAACAACTTCGCATTGTGAATCAATTTTCAAAAAGTGAAACAAAGAGTATTTTCATATAAGGAATTAGTGACTTTCGTTAATAATTAAACCGTCATTTATTTCAGAAGTTTAAAACGTCTTTTAGTACTGTTCAATTATTGATAACCCGTTTCATCAATTATTATATCGTAAGAATTTTTTTCATTATAAACATTTATTATAACATTTGTTCAAGTTATCATATATGTAATTTTTTCAGGAAATAAAGAGAATTCTTTGTTATCGATTATTTTTGAGACGGGGGTTCAACATCTTTCATCTTGAGTATCTTGCTTTACATCCGTAAGCAATGCTGAACTGAGTGAACAATGAACTGAGTGGACATTGACGATTCACAACAATATATTCTTAAAACATGAAACCATGGGAAGCATTGGCTAAAAAAAGAACTCGTCATTTTCGGTTTTCCAATGATTAATCTACTTTATATAAATGATTAAAGAATGCTGTTGTAAATTGTTAATGGCAACTAGCTTTGGGTGACGCAACTACTTCCAGTTCCCTCCCTCTACATAAAGTGACATCAGTTTATGTAATATTAATACCATTTTAGAGATAGGCACAGGGCGTTGTTCAAAGGTTAAAATGGTTGTTGTAAATTATTTTGTGGAAGGGGGGGGGATTACGCTTCAATTGTTCCTTCAATAAATACCAACCTCTGCACTGCAGGTCATTTTTAAACGTTAATGAAAAAAATCACTTTATGAATATTTTATTTATGCTGAATTTCTTCAGTACACGGTACAATGTATTTTTAAGTAAAATAGTATGTTTTAACGAGTTCTGTTTGCTTCTTTTACCCTTAAAGGGACTGTAAGAAAAATTTCATATGACCCTCCATGCAAAGATGACAATGCCCGATTCATGACTGTATCTTTCAATGCTTTATCTGATCAAATATGAATTGGAAATAATGTTAATAATTTTGAAAACTGATTATTTTCAATTGTGGTTTCTCTACAAAAGTGACTTGTGCACTTTTACTGCAGGAAAACATATAGAAACAGAATAAATCACTTCTAAGCCTAGCCAAACGACAATATCTTCCACATTATTATTCAGATAAGATTTTAAAAATGTACAGTTGTGAATCGGGCTAATTACCATCTTGGGGGGTCACTAGAAATTACGCTTACAGTCCGTTTAAGTAAGGTTTAGAATTGAATTGGATTAGAATAGAGAATAGAGAATAGAAAATAGAAAAGAAACATTGTATTCATGCAAACACGGTGTAATTGAAACATGTTTTATGCAAAGGGTTAAGAGCTTGAAGGGGGGACGTTAGGTAAAAGGGGTCAATGGTAAGGATGAGGTTGAAAGTAAAATGTAAAGATGTACACGTGAAATTCAAAATCCTTAAAAAATAGCGAAAAAAAGAGACTTATATACTAAAATATTTAAAATATAGCCCAACAAAAAAGTATAAAATGCAAATTCGAAAAATCTACATTTAATGGATAGGTTAAGACTTACTGGACTTTTAACCAGAACCTCTCGTTTACCTTGGGTAAAATAGGGTTTAAGAAAAATTAAACATAGAAATATATATTCAATCCTTTACTGGTCAGCATGGGTCATCCCTTGCCCATACCTTATCATCGACACTAATTAATTATTGCCATGATAAATAGAATAAGGCTGACCATGAAATACTATAACATAATAAAATAATAAAAAAGTCTAAAAGTTTCCAGTGGCCGAATTTAAAGAATTTGAGCGGCGGTTTAAATTTAAGCCGCGGTTTAAATATGGTTGGTTCCAATTAAAATTGTATTAAATGTTTCAAGATTTAAGCCGGTCCTTAATTTAAACCGGATTTAAACCGTGGCTCAAATTCTTTAAATTCCATCTCAGATCTACTAGGAGATAGGACGGAGAAAGCCTATTTACATATAAACCGTATTAAATCAAGTAAAATCCACCAGATTCATGACAGCGGAACAGTCCTGAAGATAAAAAGGATAGTTTTGCATAAATATAATTCCATACTTTCCTTACTTACTAAAACTCAGCCTAAAGGGACTAGCAACTCATTTTAAAGTAAGTATCATCATTTTTAACATTAAAAACTCTAAGAAAATTCTTTAGAAAGTCTTGAGATTTAAAAATTGAGGATTTTTTTTCTATTTTTTAATAAAGACGCGGGTTTCCTGGAAAGCGCGAGTATTAAAATATATTGAAAAACGTATTAAAAGTGTTATATCTTTTCTCAGAACAAGCTGTTTTACCGTTGTGAATTGTTTATGGTACTTTTGAGAAAGAGTTTCTTTAAAGTTGGTTGATATTTCGCTTAATATTCAGTTATTCCAGATCGTTAAACAAATATGTTCCTCCATCTTCAATATAACTTTATTTGAACTTTATACGTTCATACATTTATGTTTATAATTTCAGAAAATTGAATCATAAATTAAGGTTGTTTTATAAATTTTTAATAATTTGTTCTGATAATCATGTTTCCTTTTCTTTCATTAATATTAAAAAACTTAAAACGTATAGTTAATAGGACAAAATCCTAAAAGGACAGGATTGGATAAAACAAAACATTGCTATGGTCCGCAGCTCCTGGCTTATCATGGCTAACAACAGGCTCATCAAATAACAGTCGTCTCAAGCGTCATTGGAATATTAGAAAATTATAAGAAGGAGAAAGGTTAGTTGTAATTAACGAAAAAAGAAAAAAAGGTTTAGAAATTGAGCCATTATAAAATAAACCACTGTGATGAGTAGTAGGAATGAGATCTGGAGTAAACTTGGCCTGGTCCGGGCGAACCCACCTTCAAAAACACTGCTTTAGAATTAAAAAATTAAAAAATAAAAAACAAAAACCAAAAAATTAATTCTTATTTTTCTTTAACCTAAAATGTGCTCTTTCTTTCACATTTAAATT